GGGACTCGAACCCGGGCCTCATTGGTGCAAAGCGATGAAAGAACCACCACGCTAACCCACTCCCCCCAAATTGAAGAAACCTGCTCCCTTCACTGATATTAAATTCCTATGTCTGTGGTGATAGTTTGGACGGCTCCAGGCTTGCCATTTCTCTGTGGAAGGCCCTTGTTATGGTGGAAACATTGTACCAGCAAATTTTCTGTAGCCTTTGAGAACATTTGGCTCAATATTTAACTTCTCATCATTAATATGAGCAGGAATCACTGCAACATGTTTTATAATTCAAAAGTGGTAATTTTGCTTTGTGAAATATCAAAATGACAAAATTTGGTTATGCAAAGAAAATGTTGACTGACGGGACTTTAATACTTTTAATAAAATAAGGCAATTTAGATTTCAAATCACACTGGCTTATGAGGGAGAGTTGAATCATTTTTTTTTACTTTTTGGAAGGATAAACTTGAAAATCCCTTTCCAATGAAATTCCCATACTGAATTCTTGATTTCTGGTTCAGGTGACATCGATGTGACTGCGTCAGCTGCCGAAGTACAAGCAGCGTTGAATGCCATCTTGGACCCTGATACAGTTGCCGTGACACAGTCCAGTGACGGCTACGCAAATACTTACACAGTGGAGTTCCACATTGCCCAAGGTATTAAGAAAACAAGATCAGATCTCAAACATTGCGCTAAGCTGTCTTGCAGTAATACGACTAAACGTTTGCAGCGACAGGTGGCATGGATAACTGCTTATCATGCTAACAACTGGCCTCAGTCAGTCTATTTGAATACAACTTTTCACACACCCTTGAAAGCTAAGGTTTTATAAGTTAAAGATTGCCCGATAAATTTATATTATGCTCATTTGTATTTTTCAACAGAAGAGGAGATCAGTAATTTTGTATATCCCCAGTTCATGTTTTAAACTTGAGGCAATGATGTGATCAGTTTGTGACTGTATTTTTGGTCTATACGCATCGGCAGTCATTAGTAGTCTAAAAGAGGATGATTTCATTTTCAGAGGGAATCGCATTGCTGACTGTGGATCAAGATGACCCTAACCTTGTTGTCATGGTGACTCAAGTTAAGTCCTATGCTCCCGTAGAGCTGAGTGAGTTTGCCCTGTTGTATGATGGAATAACGTCTGTGCCACTATCGCCGAGCTCCACGGCTGAAGAGGTATATAAAATAAAATGGGAACATCAACAAATTTTACCATAATCATCATCTACAGCCATGTCTAAATTACTCCTCTGCAGCTTGAAATTGCAGGTGACTCTGTGGGAAGTTGCTTAAGCCATTACCATAGACTCAAGCATTCTTTCAAACTTAAGCCAAGTAATTCGGTCATGGCCTTACCACATTTTGTACTCATTTGGATGAAAAGAAGACATCCTATCTCAAAGTCATATGCACAAGAGCCAGGGTGCACACATGGTATACCCATCCGACACACCCATGCCAGAATTGGGTAACCCAGCGCCCCTGTTTTGTGCTTGCACGGACTGTTAGTCACTGAGTCCGATCCAAACTTTGTCACATTCACAGGTTCAAAACGCCCTCCTGGAAATGTTCAGCGTCAAGTGCTCCACCAGCGGCAGCATCAAGGGGTATCTGGTGCAGGACTACGAAGGGGATAGTCTCGGATGGATCAACGGGGAGGTCATTAACAGCCAGGAGCCCTACTGTGGCCGCTGGCTGATCAAGAACCCTTACCACATTTTCTATGCCGGCCGGAGCCGGACGTCCGGCAGCGAAAAGGAACTTGACTCCTTTGACATCAGGCAATATGATCAGGTGAGTATGAAAAGTTGCTGGCATTATGTGACCAAAGATCTTTACCTCGTATAGTGGAATTTAAAAGGACAAACAGGACAAAACTTTTAAAGTTTATGAAAGGGTCGGGGTGTTGTTTGAATTGCCAAATATCCTAATTCCCACTTAAGTGCAGAATGCAGTGCATTAGTGCATGCGCATCTGATTATATGGAAATTCACTAGTGATGTGGCAATTTGTTTTACTAGTATATTCAATATTGTTTAGGGGCCCTGGGATGCAATGTAACTAGCTGAGTGGACTGAACTTAATTAAGGCAAGGTCCATACCTGTCACCAATTACATTATTTATCTTTTTTCATCGTATGGTACTTTATCATCTGTCAAAAACCACCGTCATGATGGGCTCTTGACCAATAGGTATTGGTAAATTGCCGGAGGATTTAGGAGTGTCAGTGGTTCATAAGATGACCCTCAGCAGAGGTCAGACATCTCACAGATAGTGAAATACTTATCAGTCACAGAATCTGTATGGAGAAAACTTTGACACCACTTTGTGCCTTAAATTCCCCTGTCCAGTTGTGTTTCGGCCACCGAGGTGGCATCCAGTCGTTCATCCAGGTTCGCATCCACTGGATGGACCAGGAGTTCAACGACCGGGTCAACTGGATAAACCTCCTTGACAGCAAGCTACAATCTTCTGAAAGGTTTGGCAAAGTTTTTTATCCCTGAAATTCCCAGTGCATTTCTTGGGGAAGGGGTAAAATAGAAAAGAACGGGTCCATTGTTCAAGACTTAATTGTGCAGCTGTCTACCTGTATTTTGAAATAGCTTTAACCTTGAAAAATTCTGATTAATTCCCCATAATGCTGTATTTTACCCAAAATGGTCATCATTTTCTATTCGCAAATCTGAAAATTTAGCAAGAACTCAAACCCTCTCTGAGAATGTCCAAATCTTTCACCTTACCTTAAGAATTTCTCTCAAATCTTAAGAAAATTCCCCAGTGAGTTTGCAAATGTTTTTCTTTTCTCAAAATGTCTCTTTAATGTTACTGGTATTGTTGTGTAGGTGCAAGATAATCCCTTGATTGTTAGCCTTATCTTTTGTAAATATTTTATTCCGTTTGAGCAAGCTGCATTCCTTAGATAATAATATAAGGTGAAGTATAACAGAGTGGACTCCCGATTGCTACTTTGACTGGTTTGAGTCCTCTCCAAAATCCCTGGAAATTTGGGGTCTCTCTTTATAGCGTCAAGCAGTGGCATAGCCGGGGGGGGGGGCACGCACCCCCCACAAATTCCCAGGTGCTCCCCCCCCACTAAAAAATGCATGAATGGATATTGAACAAGGCTAACAATAGCTTGCCCCCAAAAAACCACACCACTGAAAGCTGGTGCCCCCCATAAGATGCTGGTGCACCCCTTGTGCCCCCCACTAGTAAAATCCCAGCTACGCCACTGGTGTCAAGCCTTAAATCAGTAAGATTTGAGTGAATGGATGATGTCTAACTGTGCCCTTTATTTGGTCCTTGTTTCAGCTGGTTATACACCTGCCTAGATGTACATACCTTGATCCAGTCCACCTGGGTCTATAATCAACACCTGAGTGGAACAGCCCTGAGATTCGAGCGCATCAGAGTGTTCAGGATAGAAGGCCAAGATCTGTTCCTTGACAACCTTTACATTGGACGCAGTGTCCCACAATGTGAGTATTAGACAGAGGTTTTGAATTCCGTGGAGCTACTTCACCCCATTAATCCACTGAATAGTCAATAGTACTGGGAAGGCTATGATATCCTAACTCATTGTGATTATCTGATGGTGATTAAAGTTGGCCCAAAGTGCTCCCTGAGCACCATGTGATGAGTACAGTCACGTGACGTCATACACACTGGCCTGTGTCACTCTGAGTGTACGGGACATTATTGTCTATTCTGATTCCCTTTTACCTCTTTTGGGATGATTAATGTAAGCCACCTGTCAAAAAGTAATTTACCTCAAGGATTGGATACAAATTGATGTGATGCAGGTGTCTGTATTGTTTTAATCTTGCAAGAAAATCATTTTGTAGACAGCTACCAAATGTGCATAAAATGTCGCCCTTAGGCATAACCACGGTCCAAACCATGAATGGACACCTGCATCACAATTAACAATTTAAAGATGCTTCATATGATGTTAAGGATTGCATTACTTTTCCAAAAGTGTGAATTACGTTATGCTAATACTAGTTAACAATGTAAAACAAACCCTATCAATGACACCTCCTGTAGATGTACGCGAGCAACGTGCTGCAAGCCCAAATGGCATCTTTGTGCTGGACGCATCCGTCCACAAGACCGACTTGAGCTTCAACATCACCCTGACGCCAGCTGCTTGTGGCAATGATTTCCCACTGATTGGCATCAAGGACGCCAACATCAGCACCAATTCAAGCAGTGAAGTGGCATACTGGAGTGAGACCTGGCCCTCCGACACCATGATCTCCGTTCAGCGGAGGGTGCCAGCCACTCCCCCGATTGGTGGAACCTTTGAGATTGAACTGTACGGTGTAAATTTCGAAGGTAGGGCTTTGGCCTTTCATCAAGAGGCTTATCGTGTTTTTTATACTGTCCTGTAATGAATCAAAGAAACTTCAACAGTGCACATTCTCTGAAGCCTGAAGAATCTGACAGGGGAATGATGAATAACGTGGAGTTTTAAGGCTTGGGGATACCCTGAATAATCTTTAATTCTATTACTGAAAATGCTATCCGTATAATGGCCTGAGTGTGATTTGAACCTGGAATAGCTCAGTGTATTCCAAAATGAAGATCAGGTTTCAACAAAATCGGATGATTTGATAATTTGATGCTGAGGTATCGGTGTTGCTGTCCTGTCTCGTGGATCAGTATGGAAATCAAATTCTGATCCTCTAAAGCCATCACTGCTTCTGTTTTTTATGTGATGACAGTTTCAGCCCAGGCCACAGCAGACCAACTGAAGGAGGCCCTCCAAGCCAACCTGGACATCGGCTCCTTAGAAGTGTTCAGGGAAGGCAGCTGCTCAGGCTACTCATGGGAGGTGGAGTGGCTGTCCAAGGGAGGCAAGCAGCCCCTCATGCAGGTAAGCCATCCCTTGACAACAGCCCCAGATGATAGTGGTATAGTGGCATGTCAGTTAAATGAAGGGTTAAGTTAATACCTTGCCACAAACCAGAGAAAAATGAGGAAAGATGCCTAGAGCAGTGCCGTTACAAGGGTGACATTTCTGAGGAGACATCCAGGTTGCACAACTTTTTTGAGCGGAGCTGCACAAAAGCAAATGAGCTGTAGCTTTCAAATAGGTTTGGTAAATTTAACAATTTCAAACACGGGTATTCAGAGTTAAGGGGGCACAGACTTCTGCCACCCACCCTGTTACACACACAGTAATTTATAGTCACATTTTCTTGAACAGTATCTCATAGAAATTATGTTCAGCCCCCCTTCCCCACCAGCTCAAGAAAGATCCAAAGCTGGAAAATGTCAGCATTTTTTTCTCTGGTAAATCCCATAAAAACTTGTGTGCTTCATTTTCAGGTGAATTTAATCTTCTACTACAGACTATTTTGGGATCCAAAAATTTTATGTTGTACCAAGCATTCCCCCCCCACTCCGTTGGTAAGATTGACATTGGTATGACTTCTCTGTACTTGTGACCGTGTCAGGTGAATGGTAGCGGACTGACAGGCTACGAGGTGGGCGTGACTTCTCATCGTGTGGAGGAGGGTCATGTCTTCCTGGCTCCAATACCTGGAGAGTTCCTCAGGCTCGCCCACCCTCAGCCGCAAGTGAGTCATGAAAAGATACAGAATCATAGACCTAGGCTTCAGTGTCAAACATTTACTCATATTGCCAATGTGTGACATGCATAATAAAGCAGCTCAATAGTCTCCAACTACAGAACTACTGGGTCATTCAATTCAGTGTGTGACCATATCCTCATTTACTTAGGTGAAGATGCTGAAGTTACTGCCTTTGCATAGCTTCAAACCCTCATGGCAGTATTTACTACGAGGCACAGGGTTCCTTTTTTATTATTATTATTCATTCATGCCAATTTTTTTTCATCACATACAAGATGGGCATTGGAGAGGCAAAAGCAATAACAATCACTGTGGCCAAGACCTGCCCTCCACATCAAGTTGTGTATAGAGTGAATAAATTTAAATAAAAATACTAATATGTAAAAGTATTTGAAGCCAAAAGTTAGAACTTAAAAATATTTAAATATAAAAGAATAGGAATTACTGAAAATGAATAAGGATAATGTAAGCAATTAAATATGAAATTAAAATAAGTTAAATGAACAAGCAATTAATGATAACAGCACAATAAATTTTTTTGATATACATGCCTGATGTAATTTCCCCATCTTGGCATGCAGACAAATTTAATACTGTTCAGTGTAGCATTTTAAAATTCTAGTTTTTAAGAGTAGGGTTTTAAAGGAAAATCAATTGCTCTCTGAGATGCCCTCACTTTAGCAGTGCTTCCAAAATGATAAAATTAATGAAATAGTCACCAGTGGATCATTTTATAACTATGGGGTCTAACAGTGTGACTTGTTGTGTCCCAGTTACACCTGACTTGCATAATGTGACATGAAAATATCACTGAAATTGGTTGCAAGCTATTTCTAGTTGTTTAAAAAATAACTTGGAAAGTAAAGAGTTTGTTGTGAGCTTACAAAATCATATGTCAGAAGTGATAAGAACCCACAAAACCTAGAACCCAGGTTTACAGAATGAACCTCGTACATTTTAGATCAACTTATAAGAAACTTGAAAGACTTGGTTGGCGGTTACTTTCATTGTTCTTTTAAGATGTCCTTCGTCTTTCTTAAGAATGGAGGATAAAATTCAAATTGACCAAGATAATTCTTCCATCGGATGGAACCCTTTTTGCCTTGCTCAGGTGGAGGTGATCGTCAACAACGTCCCATCTAGCTGTTCCCTGGGCCAGTGCTCCTTTGAGTACAGCGACAGCGTCACACCCAAAATCTTAAGCTCTACCCCTGCAAATGGTGAGTCGAAAGTATACTGTGGCCCACCAGACTGATGCTCGTCATCATACCACTGGAAAATATCACAGGAAAACAATGGTTGTTAGCCCTAACCCTCCTCAATCCTTCACCTGTTGGAGGACTGAGGAGTGTTAGGGTTAGAAACCATTAAGAAGAGGTGTAGGAAATAATGTTCACAGTTTCTTTTTGCTCTAGGTTCAGCAGCTTTGTGAGTTACACCTTTGTGGATGAGATATTTTCTCACTCCCTCTCTTTCTCCAGTCCTTGAAAGACTCGAGAAGACGAGATTTTCCTTGATAGTGTGACATGTTTCTTGACACTCATGCTGTTGAGTTATTGAGGACAACCACAGACATAAATCCTTCTACTATCAAAATGTAAAAAATAGGTATTGTGAATCCATAAGTTATCTCTCCTACTCGGTACTTATTTTCCATGCCATGTGGCCACTCTTTCTCCAAAGGCTCTGCCTACCATGACACTGTCCTAACCATCACCGGCTCCGGGTTCAGCGTCAATGCTGGAGAAAACAACGTCACTATCGGTGGTGCTGTGTGCGATGTTGTCTCTTTCAATGAGTCCTCCGTGTCCTGCGCCGTCACTGAATCGGCAGCCGGCTTGTATAATATCAGCCTGATGGTAGAGGGTCGTGGTAATTCCTTATACCCGAATGGTGAGTGTCCCAAATCGGCAAACCCAGTCTCTTGTTGTGCTAGGTTTGGTTTTCACCAGGAGGATGGTATCTTCACTGACACTACAAGCTGACACACGGTGATTCTTGAGTGGGCTTTGTTCGCACAAAATTTACAGAAAGACATCAACTGAGCACTACATGCATCCATTCAGCAAATTATTATTTTCAAGAAGTGAAGTTTTTCTGAACCTCCCAACTTTAAAGGTTCCAAGTACAATTTTATATCCCTTTAATAAATTGATGGAGTAAATCCATGCAAAAACCCTTTAAAGCATCATCATGCTTTGGTGTTAGTTTGTGAAGACCACAATTATTCCACCACATATGTCAGTCTTCAGTTCTTGAACCCGAAGGTGATTGCTCTACAGTTTTTTTGAAGTGTTCCTACAAAGCACTTGTGTTTGCATTTGTGAAAACAGTGACCATACTTAGTACAGTCCATAGACAAATAAACCCTTGACTGTCGTTGCCAGACTGTGAGACTTTCAGTTGTGTTTACTCTCAGTACTTGTGGATGCAGGAAAATGTCACTTAGCCATTACTCTCGGATCACATTTTCACCAACAGGAGACCTTTCTTCCATCTTTAAAGAATCTGTTATGCAAGAATACACCTATATGGCCTGACCTGGGTTGTACTCTGATTACCTGCAGATTCCTACTCCAGCTGGTTGTGTGTTCTGGAGTATAGTGTACCCCTTAACGATCGTCCTCCAAGATGAATTCTAAACGTCCAAGTCCGTCATCCTTTGTAATTTTTTAGCACACGCCACTTGGGACATATTCTTCTGGTATTGTAGAATTAATGAAAATTTCTGTTTTGCATTTTTTTGTCAGGACCGATCACATTCCAGTATGAACTAGGAGTTACCAATGTCAGCCCAACATCTGGAAGCACAGCTGGTAATGTTGTTTGACTTTAAGAGATTGCATTCGTTTGGCAGTGCTGTAGTCGACAAGCGTTAAGACCATGACAAGTCCTCACAAGACCAGCCCAAGGCTGGCCGTAGACCTTCAGTCTGAATTCAAGTCCCACACTGCTCAGATGAGCAGCAACAAAAGCCTCCCTGTCCCATTGTTCACCCTGTAACTTGAGACCGGTCTTGTGTCTTATCTTCTTTGTGGTTTTATGATGTCTTGACTGTAAAAGCGCCAATGGGTTCAGTTAAATTCAGGGGTGAAAAAATACTGAAAACACACTCAAAAATGCTTCCTTGAGCAAAGACCAGTGGCCACTAAAACTACCTCGTGATTTGCATGACTTGAGCTTTCAAGACTTTCACCTAATTCACCTTTCACCTTCTTCGCAACATCTTCAGCCTGTAAGGCAGGTCTCTAAAAGTTAGGCCAGTTGGCTCACATAGCACTAGATTGAGCATTTTTCCGTTCATGCATTAGGTCAAGATCGTAAATCAACCTGATTTTCATTTGCAAACCAACCATCATGATATCTTTATACTGGGGGTTCTTTGCTAACAAAGAATTTTGTTTTTTGTGTGATTTCCCCAGATTTATGGTGATTTTTTGTTTGCTTGTTTGCAGGCGGTACCCGAGTAAACATCACAGGGTACGGCTTCAGTGAAGATATGCAAAGCACCTCAGTAACTATTGGTGGGCAGTCGTGCATAATTGACACGATAACGTACGATGAAATCCAGTGCGTCATTGCATTGGACACACAGGTATGTATATTCTATGTACATGTGAACAGCACCAAGAGGTTAAGAACTTACCCTTGGAGTTGACCTATATTGAGGAAACCAAGCTTTCGACTGGGCTGACTCAGACAAGGGCATGCAAATGGTGACAGTCATGCATGTGCATAACAACTTCATAGTTTTACAGTCGATGCATGCATTGAGTTAGTATTGAGATCAAAAAAACTTCTGAAAGTGCCATTCCTTCATTAAAATGGCATTTTGAGTGGATTTCACCTTTGTATCCATCAGCAAGGCTGAATGTGAAATTTGTATTTGATTTTAAAATTCTATGAAAAACGCTGATTGGTTGATACTGCAACAGTTCATAGCTTGAACCTAGGGCCAAACTCTTACCTGTATGTTTTGCCTCTCTGTGGTCCCAGGAATCCAGACGCAGGCGACGCTCCCTCCAGGTGGACCTTATCATCGTGGTGAACAGCCAGACCCTCACCGAGGAGGGCATCTTCACCTTTGACCCTTCCCTGACCCCAACGATTTTGGGGATCAGTCCCAACGTGTCTAGTGTGAAAGGTGATGCCATTTGAAAGTTTTCTTTTGCCAACAAGAATTCAAACTGAAAATGGCATAATTGTGAACAAAAGTCATCCTGTTTCTAAGTACAAGCTACACTTAAAGTAAGTTGACAGTTTCAAATTTTACCTCTGAAGAGCTGTAAATTATTATTCATTTTAGTGTATGTGCGACAAAGCGATTGAATTCTGTACAGTGTTTGGGGGTGTTCTATGAACTAAGTTTTCCCTAGGCTTCAAAACCAAACTCCTGTAATCCACTGTAAAAAAATCTACGCCGAAGGTTGTCTGTGGCAAACTTTACCAGACATCAAATCGGCCAAAGGTTTATAAAAACCAAATCAACCAAGTTATGCCTCACAGGTTCAAGACATTTACCTGTTAGCCCTATTACCTTGGACTGCCACAGGTTTACTTTTACAGTTGGCAAGTTAATGCCTTTCTCTTTTCAGGCGGAGGCATTTTGACCATCTCGGGCAGTGGCTTTGGAAGCAGCGGTGCCAAGGTTACCGTCGGCAATGCAGACTGCGTGGTCACTGCTCAGGCGGATGGCGAAGTCAATTGCACCATTCCCGAGCATTCACCGGGGACCTTCTATGTTATCCTGGAGGTGACTGACCAAGGGTTTGCCGAAGCCAAGTGAGTCATTCAGTTGCTTTGAAGCAAACAGTCTTGATATTTTTTAAAAATTAGTCAGTAAATGGCTCAAATACATGGAAACCATGCTTCACAGTGCCCTCAGAAAAATAATAAAGGGATTGCGTTGTGCTAAAATTCTTTTTTGAAACACAGACCTTAAAAGTTGTGTTTGTGCACTGAGAAACTTTGAATTAATCCTAGCGGATGAATATGTAAGCTACTCATAATGTGAGGTTCATAAACGGCAATGAGTTCTTTGATGACTATTTTCATTGCAGTAGGTACATCTCCAGATAAAGGCCATACATACAGACGTACTCCTCCAGTATCAGTCTGATTGTAGGTTGGTGATCACTTTTTTTCCCCCCAACAGTGGCATGACGTTTGTGTACCAGCTGGACGTGACAGGGATATTTCCAGACAGCGGCTCTGTTCAAGGTGTCACCGCGGTGACCATCGCAGGCGTCGGTTTCGGGACAAACACCAGCGATGTCTCGGTCAGTCTCGGCGGCGTTGCTTGCACAGTGAATTCAGTGGCCGACAGCAGCATCCAATGCCTGACGACATCCTCTGAGGCTACTCACAGTGTGGACAACTTTGGCAAGCACCAATGTGAGTCTCTTTCTTTTTGCACTTCAGCAGTAAATAAAAAACATGGAATGTTTATCGTTGTTGTCGGACACTCTGTCGACATGTGCACTGCACACTTTGGACGACCTTCTCACATGTGAAGCTGCAGTACATGTTCATACTCACTGAGTCCAATTTCTAAGCCTCTGCAGCCACAGATTTTTGTCACTCATAATCAGAGCTCTGAGCCTTGGTTCAGAAAATCCACATTAACTGTGCTAGCACCGTTGCTCTTGTGTGGTGTATGCGTAAGCCTATGCAAAATGCCCTTTCCACTAAAATGTGCTAAAATTATCAGTACAGAACTTTCTGCTTCAGAAAGCAGAAATTCTCCACTCCAAAAAATTCTCCACTCACGCTGGAAAGGGCCGTGAAACTTGACTCAGAATGTCTGACACATTTGTGTAAATACGTTCTTGACCCTCCTCTGAATGTACAGCGTACGGCATCGGCTACAAATGGAATCCCCAGGTTCTGTCTGTGACGGCCGGTGATGTCGTGGTATGGCAGTGGTCAGTGCAACAGCAGGTCACTGGCATCGGGTACGCCGTCATGCAGACGGCCGATGCTGATGCGGTCATGTACGACGGTCAGGGATTCTACAGCGGGGAACGATCCTCCGACGGTAAGAACATTAACTTTATTTAGTTATAGACTTTATGAAAACACTTTATCTGTTAGATTTGATACTAATTACCCCTGGGCATCGAAAATTTTGGAATTTTCAATTGATTCAGTGCCTATCAGCATCACATGTAGCTTTTAAAAGCCCAATCCTTATGCAACTTGTCATTCTGCACATCAGCGACTTATATTAATACTTGGATGTGGTCAAGTTTAAAACATAACTGCCAGTCAGTTCAGTGTAATTCAAGCAATATACGTCTTTCAATTTGAACTATCCCTTGAGCTTGGTTTCTTTGTGTATAGTACCGTTCTTGCGGGTAATCTTTACGATTTGTCTCTCCCCCACCATTGACTGCGTCAGTATTTCACCACCTACCGACAAGCACAGCGTTCTTCCAATGTTCACTAATTTTTGTTGTTAAGCTTTTGAGATTTTGTTTACATATTGTGTTCCTTTGTCATTTCCACTGCAGGTAATTTTGCCTACCGATTCTCCACCCCGGGCACTTATTACTATTCTAGTGGCCCTGTGGATGAAGATGGCAACCTCTACATGAAGGGAATAGTCAAAGTCAACGAGCCCACAGCAACATCCAACAAAGTGGTGGTTACTGTGGGAGGATATGACGCCTTGCATGACACCCAGTCAGGTATTAACAAAAGATAGTTTTAACAATATCCCTGGTGTTATTATAGATTATCTTCAGAGTAGTTTAGACTCATCCAAAATCTGTCCTCTTGCTTATGAGCCCCAAGCTGGACCAAGGGAGGGCACAATTTTTCCTAGAAATGGAGGTTCCTTTGGTCAGAACTGAACTTTGCTGGTTCACAAATGACTTTTGAAATGGACGTGTTACAGTCGCTTCACTACCAGCAAAATAAACACTCCCAACCAACATGGCCCTTTTCAACCAATGAGGGGGTACTTCTGCTCAAGGCTGATAAAAATTTGGATATTAGACTCATGAATATGTGCAAAAATGTGCTTCCATTTGTGTTGCTTAACTTGATGAAGGTTACATGACACTTCTAAGGATATTCTAGTTCTTGTTCACTCAAGTCACATGTTAAAATGACATTTTTCGGTTTTCTCACAGATGTTGGGGAACCCATGAGTTCAGACAACTGTTCAGGTAGTAGCATGGCTATCCCATCATGTAATGTGCCCCCGGCTGAGCAACCCGACTCCTCCAGTTTCTACTTCTCCTACTGGGCCTGCAAGACGCCCATCGTGGACGACTTTGGTCCCAAAGTGTAAGGTTCCCCATCCCGTCTAAAAGCACAGTTTATTTTCACTCTACTAGGGAGCATGTTTGCATCAAAACTATTAGCCTGTAATCTTGCAAGCTTAAAATGTGACAAGTCTTTTAGGGTGCATTAACATAGAAGAAATGTGCTTACATGTCTGTGCTCAAACAAAGAACGTAAACTTTGGCAACTAGATGATAAAACAAAATTCTGCAATATAGAATATTAATGTTTTAAAATAACTAAATGTTAATCTTTTTTCTTTCCTTAGGGGCACCCCAGATCAGATCATCAATGTCACTGGGTTGGGCTTTAGTGATGTGCCGTGCGAGAATGAGATCTCGTTCGGCAGCTACTCTTGCATTCCTCAGATGGCCACAAATGTCTCCGTCACCTGCCTGATGGACACCGCTGGCAGCATGCCAGTCGGTCAGCCCCTGTCCATCTCACTGGTGGTAAAGAACCTTGGCCGTGCCCTCGTTCAGATTCCGATGCCAGCTGACCGTGGTTTCACCCTCAAGCCACAGATCGACGCACTGTCTACCCACAGCGGGGGAATCACTGGCGGCACGGAGGTCGTCATCTCGGGGAATGGCTTCTCGTCCGACACGGTGTCAGTGTGGATTGGCAGCAGCGGCTGCCTGGTCCAGTCAGTCACCTACATGCAGGTGGTGTGCAAGACAACACCGGCCACGGCAGGGAGTGCTGAGCTCCGTCTGGAGATCAACTCCCAGTGGGCTGCATGCAATGATGACTGCAGCTTTGAGTTTTCTGAAGCCATGACGCCTGTCGTGGATGGAATCTCCCCAACCACTGTCTCCGGTGCCAGCACTTCCATCCAGATCCTTGGCTACGGATTTGTTAATGAGACCTCAGACATCACTGTGATGATCGGCGGGGTTGCCTGTGTCGTGACAAATGCCTACGACGAGGAGATACAGTGCGACGTTGGGTATGTGTCCGTTGGCGACCAGCCTGTGGTTGTCAATATCGCTGGCAAGGGTGATGCCTATTTCAACGTCAGCAATATCGTCACAAGTGCCATGGTCATCGACAGCATCGACCCAAGCTCTGGTAGCACAGAGGGAGGACAATCCATCACCATCCTGGGTAGCGGTTTTGTGGATGGTAGCACCACAGTTGACATTGATGGATCAGACTGTGTCATTGAGAGTGTGTCCCTGTATGAGATAATCTGCGTGACATCTGACCATGCTGCAGGAGTAGTTGACCTTGTGGTGACCTCCCAGGGTGAAGATTACCCAGCCGCCAATTACGAGTACTCAGCTTCCGACACGCCGACAATAAGTTCAATCACACCAACCTCGGGTGAGTATTTCTTTAATTTTTGTCATTTTGTAAAGCCTCCCAAAAATTCCATTGTCTGTCCCGGAATAACTTGAGAAATAAAAGCACATTGTGAAAATTTCTCAGCGGAGGAGAAACAAATTAACCACTCTCCCCTCCCATCACCTTTTGAAGAGACGTTGTCAATTTATCCAGGAATTGAAAGGAGCAACACCTTAGAAATGGTACTGCTGCATTTCCCAGGGAGGGGAGTTGAGGAATCGTGTTCAGATTAATTAGATGTGGACAATCATTTTTAGAAAAAGTCCTCATTTTTGGCCCCCTGGACCCCGAAGATGGATGGGCTACTGTCGGTGCTGCATGCTTAGACATGAATAGCTGAACCACCTGTTGATTTCTTATTTCTAAACCCTGCTGCTCTTTTGATAAGTGAACGATACCATCTCTTGAATGCCAATTACAGGCGTCACTGGCGACAGCATCACAATATCCGGTTCCAGCTTCAGCACCAACACGTCCGACGTGGCCGTCTTCATCGACGGTGTGGTCTGCACCGTCAGTAGCGCAGCCGATGATTCCATCGCGTGCAGCGTAGGCCCCCACTCAGCTGGCACCTATGCTGTGGTGATCTACATCAAGGGCAAGGGCTTGTCTGGCAGCGACACCATGTTTGAGTACGAGCTGACGCTGTCGTCAGTCAGCCCTGTTGAAGGTGAGTGTAGAGCCCCAAAGTATGCCAGAATTCATTTGTAGACCTGTCGAAGGTGAGCACAGACTCCCGTGTATGCCAGAATTCTTTCAAACACAGAGTTCTTTAGTAGCTTTTCATCACTGGCTTGTGTCATGATTGAACCCTTGGCACAGTGGAAATTGATCTGGAGTCTACACAAGTTGACCATGATACAATGGAAAAACTGAAAATTAAGGTTACAATGGATGTGTCCAAACATTGAAAACAATCAGTTTGCAAATGTGTGGCAGTTTAGTCCTGTGGACAATTCAGATGGTCTTTATGGAATCTATGGGTCACTGGAAGCTATTTTAACTTTTATTGAGTGTCATAAGTACACAGAGCCATTTTTTTGTTTTGAAGATCTTTGTTCTTTCCCGAATTGCAAGTAGTTTTAAAAAATAATTAGTGTGATGAATTTTTTCTATAGCCAAATGTTGGATTGAAATCGAAGTTATCCAATGATCTTAGTATGTTTTGTGATCAGTAACTAAGGGAAGGGACATGAAAAAAGACAAGGTCTATGCCCCCTCCTCCTTTCAGAATTTAGAGAAGGAAAGATAATATTGTAATATTCTTGCTTAGTCAATGTTTCAACTCTGACCAAATTCGTTGAACGCCTCCTCCAGAAAGTAAGGGCCCCCACGTGCCCCCCTGTAAAATGTCCACTATTTACACCACTCTTTGGTGATTTTTGTTTTTAGGAAGTTTTGGTGGAGGTCGCATCCTGTCTATTGATGGAGCTGGCTTTGATGAGACAGCCATTGTCATGGTTTGCAACAATTCCTGCCCGATCAGCAACAGCACGTCCTCATTGATTGAGTGTGAAGTGCCTGCCAACTCAGGTCCGAAATTCCCTTTTCTGCCAATAAATTGTTCCCAAAAGGATGTCTCAGCCCTGCAGCTGCAAGTGCTCAACTCTGTCATTTTAAACAGTGTTTTCATAAGAGCTGAAACTTTGAAGCATGTTGTCAGTCATCAAGTAGATAGGGTGACATATTGAGTTAAATCAGTTCAACTGAAACTTACTTATTTTAGTTCGATGACATTTTGCCCGAAAACTTCAGACTTTATCAGGCAACTGAAGATGACTTGATGGGTCATTTGCCAGATGGCTAGGGATGTGTTGAATGGCAAAGTCCCAAGAACGAGAGAGATTGAACCATAAAATGCCTTTTTTGTTGAGTGGCGATTGCTCAAAATAGCCACATGACTTCTGTTATACCCTTTCCGTGTCAATGTTCCTCTTTTTTTGAGAATGATGATGTTTCTGTTTGCAAAATTTTGACTAAAGAGAGCTTTTCAACATTGTGTTTTCAGCCAACCGTAAAATGTCGATTTGTGGTTGCATTTATGGTTTGTGATACCTTTGGTCAGAGCAAAGCCTCTCTTTCCAGCTCATATGTGGCTGACAAGCATCTCATGAATTGTGTCAGATGTGGAGAAAGTTTGTGGAATTTTAAGCGTATCTCTGTCATAACTTAACGTAATGTATGAAACTGATTTGGGTGCAGGTAGTGGCGAAGTAGTCTGTGATGTCACTGTCACCCTGGCCAGCGGTGCCACGTCCACTGAGTCGGACGCCTTCACCTACAAGACCAGCCTGACACCAGTCATTGACTCTGTGGAGCCTCGCCGCGGGGGCACTGCAGGTGGAACCACCCTCAACATCACCGGCTCTGGTTTTGAGTAAGACAGTGAACTAAATGATAGTGCCTCGCATTTATTTAAATGTAAAATTCATTCTTTGCTTCAGTGCATGAAGAAATGTCTACTTTTTTGTTGAAAAGTTGCGTTTTAAAAAACTTCACTTAAGATTGAGCCAACTTCAATTCTGAGTTTTTGAGCAAAAGGTGTCACAGCTGACATACATGGACCTGGCTGTTGGTGAATGTGATGACCAGTTAGTGGTGTTACAGGTTTGCACCCGACTTCACTCAGCTGTCTTGTTCATTTGAAAATGCCTTAAAAATAAACTAAGTCAGTGTCAGCATGTCGTTAATTGAATAAATTTTTAAAGCTGAGCATCGTCGGAAAAAATCCATTGAAACAGATTTGTAAATGATCACTTAGTATTCACACAATGACCTTCTGCTTGAAGAAAACAAGCTATATAACAAACCTGCTGATGACAAAACTTTAAGGGGAGCCTCGTTTTACAAACACTCTTTGCCTTGTTTAACAGGTCATCCGGAAATGTTGTGACCGTTGGAGGGTCCCCCTGCACCGTCCAATCAGAATCGACCACGGAGATCATCTGTGAGACTGGACCCCATAGCCCGCCTGAGATGACCAAAGTCCGGGTGGAGGTTGGAAACAACGGAATTGCGACCCAGGTAAAGAAGAGAGGGAGGGGCGTGGATTTAATCTGTAAGTGTTGGGGGACAGATGAAGGTGAATACAGCTGACCAAATGGAAGCTTCTCATTATGAAAATATAGAATGAGCCACAGAAATAGGGGTGTTAGTTGGGGAAAGTAAATCCTTTCAGGGATTATTTGTACCTCTCATTACCGGTATGCTTTCGCTTCAAATTGCCTTTTTGAGAGCTGAGAATAAGACTGTTGTTGAAATATTGGACCTTAAAAACACTCTTGAAGGCACATGCATGCTTGTTCTTTAGTTGTGGAGACAAACACGTGTTTATTTCATCTATTTTGTGGGGACCAAAAAAGTTGTAGGGACAGCGAAATGTCCCCAAAACTCTGTCCTAATTTGCTCAACGAAAGAAATTGTCCCTATAATGCTGTGAAGGCCTGATCCAGAAAATGGCTTTCCCTCCCTCCACCAAACCTTACAAAACAATATTAACAAGTACAGTAAGAACTATGCAGGACAGTTTTATTATTAAGAGCTACTGTTTCATTGGTTGATGACTTGTGCTGCAGGATAACGCTGACTTCTACTACATTGATGTGTGGTCGTCTCGCTACACCTGGGGTAACCAAGATCCGCCAGTTGAGGGCGACTTTGTTGTGGTGCCAGCCGGCCAGACCCTACTTTTGGACATCAGCACCCCCATCTTGAAAATGCTTCTCATCCAAGGTAAAGTCCGAGTCCTGCTCTTCTGCCAAACCCCTCCCCTTGGTTTTCTAACCAAATATGACGGCGTGGTTAACTCACAGTTACTCAAAGGAGTGTTCGTAAAGTTTTCTGCATAAATAGGATTTGGGATGTCTTGGGGCTAGAAATATAACCCGACAGTATGAAATGAGATGGAAGTCATCAAAGTACCTTTTGAGTTTCAACAAATGTTATGCAGTGCTCTGATTGATAATTTTCGTGAAGGCAGATGGCCCTGATTATTTATCAAAAGAATATAAAAAATTAGTTAAATGGAAAAAAAATAAAGGAGAGACCATGGGATGCAAACTAATGAGAGAAAAAGAAGAGAACAATAGCAGAATACAATCTTTTTTTACAAGAAATCACAGAACAAGACAGGGACTGACTAGAAACAGTGGAAGGTGAATGGAAGAAAATTCCTTTTTGTTCTGTGCTGCTCAGGTGGCAAGGTGATGTTTGATGAGGCGGACATCGAGCTCCATGCCGAGAACATCCTGATTGTGGATGGAGGCCACCTGCAGGTGGGCACGGAGGAAGAACCATTCCAGCACGAGGCCACCATCATGATGCACGGCCACGTCCGCTCCACTGAGCTGCCACTGTTTGGCGCCAAGACCCTGGCCGTTCGCAACGGCACCCTGGACCTCCACGGTATGCTTGCTTGAACTAGTTGCAAAGGCACCATTCCAAGAGCTGGCACTGAAAGGACAAAAATTGAAATTCCTACACATAACAATACGGCTATGGTTGTAAAGGAGATAAAGAAAGACTATCAATGGGGGATTAGTATCAGCTGCAGTTCCATTAACTAATCAGTTTTCATATATGCACATAAATTTGCTGGCAATCAGAATCAAAGTCTTTGTTTTACAGGTCATTCACAAAACGTAGTACTGTTTTTGTAAATTCTTACTGAAGCATACCAAGTTATGTCTACTCTCAAATCCTGGTAAAAGTCAATCATTTTGAAGTCTCTGAAAGATTCTTGTTGAAACAGTCCTGTGTTTTAATAATGGGTAGAACTAGTGATTCGTTTGCATATTTCCAAGTCCACTTAAATACTCTGACCAGTAGTTACCTAATCATACCGTCAGTAATATTGAATTTACCAAATGGGATCTTTTCCTTGTCTCTTGAATTCACAAAAGTAAATTTTGTGCACATGATTTACCTGTCATCCTCTAGGTAAGCCAGTCCCAATCACGTGGACCCGGCTAGCCCAGACAGCCGGTGCAGGTGCCACTCGAATGGTGTTGGAGAAGTCAGTGACTTGGAAGGCCGGGGATCAGATAGTCATTGCATCCACAGGACACAGACACAGCCAACGCCAGAACGAGTTCCTCACAATCACAGGTTTGCATCCAAAGACTTCTTGACAATTTTTAATTTTTTTTTTATACTTTAACAGCACCATTCCCAGTTACTTGAAATCTTCCTATATTGAAAACTTGATCCAGGCCAGACAAACTCGATAAATGGTAGCAAAATTCAAAATGATTGACTGTAGCTACCCCCAATATCTCATATGCCCTCCAATGGTTCTTAATTGAATATATGACTGCAGTGAATTCATCATAGTCACGGTAGAGTGTTAGAATTTGATGAGGTCCAGATCTATTTGATGCTGAGTCAACATATCAAGAAAGTAGGGTCCATTTCAATTTGTCATGGATGAGGTCTTCAAAATGATTTTTACAGTTTTTAATTTTCTCAGTTTTCTTTTTCAGAGAGAGCTTATTTTTTTCCTATTCTTTCCTTCTCGTCACACAGCTGTTTCTGGGGACGGCACCGTCTTGGACTTTGAGCCAGCCTTGGAATACGAACACTACGGCTTCACCCAGGTGGTGGAGGGCGTCGTGCTGGAAATGCGCGCAGAGGTCGGAATGGTGACCCGTAACGTCAAATTCAGGGGATCAGTCCAGGAGGAATGGGTGGAGACCTACGAGGCCTGCCCTGAGGAATTTGACACGAGTATGTGGCCTTAAAGTATCCGAGTCATCTCGTGTTATTTCGTCACACGATTTTCACCAAATCAGAAACTGAAATTTATTTGTACATCTTTTCGATGGAGCTGTTATTTCCTTAAACCTATCATTGATAGTTGCGCTGCTGTTATTGTACGCAAGGTTTTCCAGATGCTTCAGAGATCATGTTTAGTTAAGGAATTCTCAGTTACAGGAATATACAAGTTGAACAGTTGCAGAAAATCATTTTGGGGATTTAATGCCTATTTTTTTAATCAGAACTTTTTCTATGAAATTGAATCACCTGACGAGATATTCTCAATATTGAACTAGATAATCATGCTCACTGTGAATTTCATCTTTTATCCACAAACTTTCTGATATTTGATAATTCAAACTAATTTCCATAATGATAAAAAAATCCCCAATTTGTAAACTCAGTAAACAAATGTACCTCTGTTTGCCTTTCTGTGAACTTATGCAGCTATTGTTGAATTAATTAGCTCAACCTCCTAACTTTTTCCCTACATGGAGAGTTTTTGTCATTAGAAGTGACTCCAACTCCTTTCTGTTTCTCTTAGATCAATTTGCCACCCAGACATGTTTCCTCGGTCGTTTTGGTGAGGAAACAGGAAGCGACCAATTTGGTGCACAGATGATGCTGTTTGCCAAGTACCAGGACCAACAACTGGTCAAAGGTCGCATCGAGTACGTTGAGGTCACCCATGCTGGGCAAGCCTTCCGGCTGGGTCGCTACCCAATCCACTTCCATCTCAATGGGGACGTGTCGGGATCCTACGTGCGAGGTTGCGGTATCCACCACACCTTCAACCGCGCCGTCACCATCCATGCCGTGCACAATCTCCTCGTGGAGCACAACGTGGCATACAATGTTATGGGCCACGCCTACTTCCTGGAGGACGGCATCGAAACAGGTAACATCATTCAGTACAACCTTGGCGTCTTTGTCCGCCCCAGTAGCAGCTTGCTCAACGTGGACATCACCCCGGCCACCTACTGGGTTACCAACCCGGACAACATCGTCCGTCACAATGCAGCAGCTGGGGGCTCCCATTTCGGCTTTTGGTACAACATGCCGACCAACCCTGGAGGTCCTTCATTCACCTCTTCCATCTGTCCCCGCAAGGTCCCCCTGGGAGAATTCCGCAATAACTCCGCCCATGCCCAGGGCTGGTATGGCATCTGGATCTTCCCGACCTACACTCCTAAAGTGGGCGGAGGCTGCAACTCCTGGGAGGATGAACCGGCCAAGTATTATAGCCTGTACGCCTGGGAGACGGAGCGTGGTGCAGAGGCTGTTGTCTCTGGCGCCATTCAGTTCCACGACTTTGTCATCTCGGATGCAGACAAGGCCGGAGTGGAATACCAGGACATTGGTGCCCCTTGGGGTGGTGCCCTGGTCAAGAACCTGACTGTGATAGGGTACAGTAACATATCAGATCCCAGTGAGTGCACAGAAGCAGGTGTTCAGGGGCCAAAGGCTGATGGCCTGACTGTAGATGGCGCCAAATTCATCAACTTTGACCAGTCTCGGTGCGCAGCCTTCCGGACCTGTGGCCACTGTAAGGTAGACCAGGGGGGTTTCTCGGTCCGCACGCAGGGCCTGGAGTTCCTCAACTCTCCCAATAAGGCAGCTTTCAAGTGGCAGCATGAGGTGTGGATCGAGGACATGGATGGTACTCTCACTGGGATGACCGATTACATCGTCCTCCCAAGCAATCCTAACCTTCCCTCTGACCACTGCACCCAGGAGGCTGGCTACAGTGTCGGTTTTTCAGGCTCACACTGCGACACAACAGTCCGTCTCCATCGCCTGGCTTTCAACAACCCATTGCCCTCCTCCCTCAGGTACAAGAACACCCTGTTTACCAACGCACAGGGTACAAGCCGCATACCTTATCACAAGAAGCGTATCACGCACCCCGAAGGCTGGATGATCACCCTTATCGATGGGGACAACTACAACATGATTTTCGAGAACGTGGACCATGTCACCAACATTTCTTACACTGCCCGCTTCTACAACTTTGATGATGGGGACTATGTGTTGATCAACCACAACTTCACCCAGAGGCCCGATAAATTTGCCACGATCGGCATAATTGAGAACAGCACTGAAAGTGTACCAACTTATGCTGCAAATGAAAATGGTGATTGGCACTTTGAAAATGAGACCAGAATCTTGACTTATATCGGTGAGTATCAAAGTGTATTTCAGAGTGGAAGATTTTCAAATTTGTTAAGGATTTAGCTCTCAAAACCATATCATATTAGGCAGGCTTCAAGTTAAAACATTTGAAAAGCAAACAAGATGTAATACATAACAGTTTAATTGCTAATAATGGGCCTTGTCAACTTCCATTTGCGATGCTTGTTAAGGTTTTTTGTCAGATTTTCAGAGTGCAGTCAGTGATTCGAAATCACATGCCTGACTATCTCTTTGAGTGTATCTTGGCAGCTCAAGTCTCAGGCAAGCAGTTCTGACCAGAAGCTATATGTGGGCCTGTCCCAATTTCTTAGAGCGGAGATGAAAAACAGAAAACATCGCCCAACAAGTTTTATGTTCTAAGCAAATTGCACCTCAGAACCAGCCACATTTTACTTGGTAACCTATTTTACCTGATCAAATATTTTCTGTGGTTAGCAAGTTTCCATCTCCCAGGCTGGACTTTTATTCTGCCTCATTCCCTTGAAGACTGTTTAAAGGTCTTCGCTCGGCCCTGTAACTAACACCATCTGCTGGTTGTCACATAAAGGTTTCTTTTTGTCTCAATACTTGCCATCTGCTACATCAACTTCTATCTTGAAACTTCATCAGACTTCCAAGTCAGAGAGCCTCATAAGCTATTGAGAAGCCTGTGGTTTTTTTGCCAAAAGGAAATAAAATCAAATTTGTTCAACTCTTAATATTTGCATGTTTCTATCCTTTGTCTAGTGTCGGGCAAAGGTGAGTCAGGACCGGTCAACAGAGATGTTGACCTGGACGTCTACCAGTGCTTCTACCTGGACTGCCTCCCACCCGTTCCTGAGATCCCCGAACCACCCCCTGCTGGCCGGCCAGTCGACGCCCGTCTGTGGTCAGACCCATTATCTTGGGATGACGTGGAGTCTGGCTGGAGCGGAAACCTGAACGGCTCGGTAACCAACGTAATGATTATGCCATGTAAGTATGATACATGATCGCCTTGCTAATACCCCAGTATCCCCCCCCTCCAAAAAAAAGTCAGAGACACAGAAGGAATCGCCTCACCAGCAGATTATTCTAGTTGCAGGGGAAACTCTCCTGGGGATGACTTTGCCTCCTAGCCCAGGGAGTCAGGCAATGGGGGCCGTGGTCTCCCCCCCCCAGCAGAATTTTTGGATGGAAAAGATTTTGCTTCTTTTCCTTCCAAAACCTTTTTAAAAGACCCCAAATTTAGCCTGATCCTCAGAAAGGCCATGAAAGGCTAATTAAAAAAGTATCTGCATTCTTCCACACGGGTCCGTGGATCCACCCTTGCTCTAGCCTCACTAGACATTTAAGTTTCACTCACTTCCTCAGCACCATGTATCCATATGTGCCCACTGCAACTGGGCCTAACTTTCCACTTTATTTATTCATTAAATACCCCTTCCTCCAACCCGCAGCGGTCTGGATGGTTGCAGATGTCCAACTCCCTGTCATGAACAAGCTCTTCATTTACGGTGCCCTGGAGATTGAAGATTCCCAGGACAACAAGCTGGAGGCCACCTACATCCTGATCCAGGGAGGCCGGCTGGTCATCGGCTTCTCCGATTCCAACCCCTTCCAGCACGAGATGAAGATCCTACTGAACGGACACCACTTCACCCCCGACCAGCCCCTGCCTAATGGGCCTAACCTGGGCTCCAAGGCTCTTGGTGAGTATTGGCTCTTTGTACTGTTTGTAGAAGTACTTAAATGTGTTAGGGTTGCCTCCTTGATGAGGATGACGCTCCAGAGTCAATTTGCATTATATTTCAAGGGTCAACCAGATCAAAGTTCACAATTCACTTTATCATTTGTAAATCCAATATGCCTGTAGCATACAATGGCCCTTTTGAAAGCTTTTGAAAAAATTCAGTAAGTGTTTTTACCACTTAATTGTGATTTTTAGGTTATCTGTCCTTTTTTGTGTCATCCTCCTCACATCAGGTGTATTTGGAGGCCTAGACATCCACGGCAAAAATCGCAGCATCTACTGGACCCAGCTGTCTGCCACTGTCTCCCCTGGTGACAGTACCCTGACTGTGAAGGATGAGACAGACTGGGAGGTCGGGGATGAGATTGTCGTGGCAACCACCTCCTATGAAGCGTGGCAGACGGAGACTTTCAAGATTGAAGCTGTCACTGATGCCTCTACCTTCCAAATCAATGGGACCTTTGCCTTCAGACACATTGGTAATTGAAAAAATTTCAATAGCCAAAAAGTTCTTCTGACTAAGACATTTTCAACATCTGGGGCTTCTTTGAGCTTTTGTTGCTTAAAGTTGCCTCTGATACCTCTGTGAAGAGATTTATTTTTCATTTACACCAGTTTGGCTAGAACTGGTGATCATGCAGCAGTAAGGAACTGGATAAAATGTGAATCTGTTAAACATTAATTATTCAACTTTTTGAATATAGTGAAGTTGAACATAAATTCTGCAGTTATGAGAAATACTTTCCCTGTTGGATCAAAATCTCTTATGGTGTATACATTATTACGTTTACTAGCAATCTGATGCATGTGCATATCTTAGTAGAATCAGCAGCATTAAATTGTTTTTGCCATTTTCTGTCTTTCTTCTTTTTTTCTTACCACAGCGGAATACAATGATGACTATGTCTTAGCAGCCGAGGTGGGTCTCCTGACTCGCAACATCAAGATTGAAGGCAACGACTATGACCTTCTGTTCGATGAGTCCTACGGGGCCCGTGTCTTGGTTGGACGATTTTTCCAGGATGGAGTCCAGTACAAAGGTAAGATTCAGTGGATCACTGATGATTCAGATAAAGTTACTGAAAAGGTGTCTTCAGACTAGTTTGAGACTTCAGAGTAGCAAAGTGCTTGTGTTCCTGATCAGGAGATCTTGCTGCTGTCGTTCCTCTGCGCCCTTGAAATTAGCTAGCACGATTGGGTCCAGTCAATAGACGTATTTCAGTGGCGGACCTCACACTGCTTTGTTCAGTCTGATGCTGTAATCAGACTTCTCACTCTTTATGAAAATCAGAAAGAAAATTCAGGTTATTTTGTTCTCGGCATTTTTCCTGTGAAAGGGTACGCCCGTATTTCCAACGTGGAGTTCTACCACTCGGGCCAGGAGGGCTGGTCGGACTTCTTTGATCCCCGCTACTCCCTGGCCTTCCTGGACGTGGGGGAGATCACTGCAGAAGCCCCGTCTTCCGTCAAAGGTTGCAGCTTCCACAATGGCTTCAGTCCGGCCATCGGTGTGTTCGGCACTGATGGACTTGTGGTCAGAGACAATGTGATTCACCACACCGTTGGATCAGGTATGGCATTGTGCACAGAATTCTGCAAATGAGTCCCAGTGATATTTTGCTCTCATGTATTCCCTGCACACATTAGAATGAGCCAAACAAATTCTTGATTTGATAAATCACCAAATTTGCGTGGAATCTAAAACTGAATTTGCCTGCCTATTTCCTGTTCAATATGACATTGTGAAAATGGTCGTCTGATCTTCTACACTTTTAAAACTACCGGTTCAGATATGACTCGAAAAATTGGTGTCCTGCTGGAGCTGACTGGTGACCCTCTTCTGGGTCCTTTGACCTCCAGAAGGGTCTTCTTTTGACCTGGAAATGGGTCAAGCTCAACAGACCACCAAATCTGGGTCAGTTTGACCAAGGGGATTTTAGAGTGTAAGTTGATCAATTGTTTGCAGTAGCAGTATGAGTTGGGGGGAGGGGCAGCTCTGAAAAAAGCTGGTTCCATCAAAGAGTTTTAACTCTGTAGTCCTCAACATCTTCGAATGTCTCCATCTGTTAAAGTCTCAAATAAAATTAATTCTCTACTTGTCTTCTCCTCACATTATGAAAAAACGTTTGTTTTAAAGCCATCATTGTTCGAGACGACAACACCCAACTCATCCACAACCTGGTGACCCTGATGGTATTCCCCGGCACCTACCAGGATCGCTTCGAGTCTGAGAACCTGGATTGGAATGCCGGCATTGAGGTGGACAAAGCAGACAAGGTTGTCCTGATCAACAACACGGTGGCCGGCTCGGAGCGGGTGGCTTTCAAGGTCAGAGGAGAGGCTTGCTTTGACCCACCCAACCCGCTGACAGACTGGTACGGCAATGTTGGCCACTCCACCCTCCATGGCATCCACATCTTCCTGTCGCCCATCCTGCCTTGCACCAAGGTGGCCAATTTCCTGATCTACAAGAGCTGGGACTTTGGCATCTACCACCAGGTAAAAATGAACAGCCTCACCCCCCAAAAAGTCTAACAAAAAATTTAGAAGATTCACTCTTATAAGTTCAAACATGAATCTGTTGTTCCCTTTTTTATTCTGTCCTCAGTCAAAATGTAATACATTGAAACTCTTTTTAAAACAATTAGAAACATTGTTTTAGGAAAATAAGGGACTCTTCTTTTAACATCTGAATTTTGAAAACATAAAATGTGATTACTTGTTTTAAAATCATTTTAAATGAAGAACTTTGTCACTCTGACAAAAAGATCCAAAGCATTATTAAAGTCAGTGACATTTACACTTGAGAAAATCAAACATGCCAGAAACTGCACACTGCCTGGCATTGCATTATTCACCGAAGAACAAAATGAAGCCAGCAGTTGAAGCTACCAGCATTCAGGTCCAACAATTGAACTGTTCAGAATTTAGGAATCTGTGCAGACATTTATATAGTGTTGGTCCTGACCATCTCCAGAGCACAGCCAGGGTGCTGGTAACCGACGTAAAACTGGTGGATAACAAGATAGCCATCCTGCCTATCGTCTTCAGCCCTGCGGCCCTCTCCCACAAAACTTCCGACAAGTTTGTCCGGGTCAAGGACTCGCTCATCGTGGGTGTCAGTGACTCGTTTGAGTGCTCCAGTGACAGCGTGAGTACTTCTGTAAAAGTTTGACTGGAAGTTACAATCATTTTACTATGACATTTGGCTCTTCATCCACATATTTGGACAAATAGGTATATTTGACCACACCTGCAAGCTGGCGAGAACTGATAAGTATGCTTAGTTAAAAAGCAAACCGGCAACTTGATAAAAATTGCTGTTTGTTGATCTACACCCCTTTCTCCACATCCAAGAACAAATGGTGTTTATTGTAGCATTTCTCGGGGTTTTCCGACAGTGATAAGCGCATTATTGCAAGTTCCTATGATAAGGAGGCATACTGTGTAAGAAATGAAAGCCCCCACACCTACCCCTCCCTGACCAAACCTGAGCCCTTCTGTGTCTTTTCTGTGCAAGTTTAGTGGTCCATTGTGTTGAACTCGGACTGTAACAACCACAGACTTCCCCAACCTCCCACTCAATTGTTCCCACTTATTCCCTGTTATTAATGCACAGCCATTTGGGTACTGACCTCAGCTCACCATGTTTAACCTCTCACCCAGAGGCCAGTCCAACAGTTAGTGGATTCTCACAATCCTGTGACTCGTGCCATTGTCGGGCTCCTAATTCTATAACAAATCATTCACTTGGAACTACTTTATTGCACCTTTTCACATTGGAGTACCAATTATGCACTTCCCCTTATCTCCTAACATTTTATGTCTTCATTTCAACTGAATTTATTGTTTACCATTTAATGACTGCTCTGATGTGGGATATGATATTTTAACATATAAGAGACTCCCAGCAAATAAGGTGAATAAGGTGTTTGACTATCTTCAACTCTTTCTATATATGAAAACTGTTTGAAACCCTTTGGGGATTAAGTGTGTTGAGAAGTGCACTTTTTAAACAGTGAAAATTATCCATGGCTTCCAGACAAGTGAGGGCTCTGTTGCTGTGATGTATGAGGGAAGGCACTGTTTTGTTACATGTTTCAAGTTTGAATTTTGAACCACAGATTTGCTCTTGGAAAACATTTATGAGAAAAGGTTGCTTGCGGGCTTATTGTCATATATATTTCCTACACAACGGTAAATCCCAAAGAACTAGAACTATACAGGGGCAAAATATTTTCAAAATCCATCATTTTTTGTGCACAGATCAGTACAATATTGGAGCTTAGTGCCTGGATGACAACAAAGTTTTGCTCATGAATATGCAAATTTGCTTTTGTAAAAACAACAACGACCAAGGTTCGGAAATACAGATTATAATAAGGAAACAAAGGTTGAATATAAGGTATTCACCTTAATGCAGACATGAATATTTCAAGGGATGGTAAAATTATTGTACTACTTGGTCCCTGCAACAGTTGACCAGGTTGATGCACAACTAACACTCACAATTTCTATCAGTTTGTTTCACCCCTGTTTAAATCTCCGTGAGTCCATTTGTAAGTTTGTTTAATGTTTGTTTGTCACTGTCTCTTTCACTCCCCCCCCCCATCATGGTATCACCTCATCCATTCCATCCCTCCTCCTGCCTCCGAATGACAAATGACACATGCCATCAGGTGGTGCCGGAGAATGCTGTACAAAGCAGCCGACAGCGGGCCCCTCGTGCCCCAGGTGGGGGCCACTCAGGTCTGGTCTGGCCCAGCTTTGCCTCTGGCCCAAACCTGGCCCCCTTTTTCGCCTTCCATCCTGTTGCGAGCTACCCCATGATCAACGGGGTCACTCAAGTTCAGAGTAAGTGGATTGGACCTCTTTCTTAAACCCCGGTCTCCTTCCTTTGGGAAACTCTTTTTTCCTGTATGCCATTAGGTGCAGCCGGAAAATGCAGGCCAGAGCAGCAAGCAGAGGGGGCCGCGAGCCCCGGGGGGTGGTCACACTGGCTTGCTGTGGAGTTCCTTCCTCTCTGGCTCGAACGGTGCCCCATTTAAGCCCTTCCATGGAGCCAATAGTTACCCAATGATTAATGGCATTACTGAAGTCCAAAGTAAGTTTGTGTCGTGGGGTCATTAGAAAAATTTAGGTGGTAACCAAGTGTTATCTTTAATCTAAAAAATGTTTGCAGAGTTGTTTAAGTCTGGGGTTAGTTTGGGGGTTACCCTAGTTGTGTGTTCTAACAGTTTTCATTCAATAGTTAGCCCTGTTTCAAACAAATTTGATGTGTCTTGCTGCGTTTGAACTAAGCAATGATTAGAGAGAATTGTTTCAGTTTTAAACAAGCTTTGTCATGGTTTGTTTTGATTCCAATTTTATAAGAGATTGAGCCATTTACGTAGAGCTTTCTCCCCCAGTAATGTTGGCCGGTTGCTCCTGATTTTAGAGGGTCAGGAATTCTAATTCACCTTCTTGTCAGATATTGTGTCCATGGGCAGCATTCTTTGCCCCAACCTGCCTCCCTCACTAGCTTGAAATATAGACACGCAATGAAGTGGCATCCCATCTAAGAGGAAAGGGAATATTCCAAGTCATTTCATGCCCAATAACCTACAGAAAAAACACCAACCTGATACTTCTCGCTGGCTCAGAACAGAGTTTACTGAATAACTTTCCCACTTCCACCTCTCTGAAATTTAAGTCTAAAGTAATCTTCTTTTTATGCTGAAAAAAAAATAGATGTTGACTTCCGCAGTTTCGGTGAGCACTGCGGGAAAACGGATGCGATGATCGTGACTAATGCCGCCTCTGAAGACGCACTTCACCCAATTGAGATCTCAGGAATCACAATGACAAATGTGGATGAGGCTCGCAAAGTATTCCTCCACAGACCAAACGTAGGGTAAGTTGAAGTTAAACGTCTGGATTTTAGAAGATTAATCATTAAAGTTTGCTTGTTATTTACAAAGCATGAATATGTATATCATGCTCATTCCCAATGCTATTTGGGAAGAGATTTCATGCCTTGTTAAATCTCTAAAGCCCTGAAAAGTTATAACATTTTTACGGCTGTCATTGCTGCAACCTTTGCTAAATCTTTCCTGGAATTCTCTTTGTCACCTAATCTTACTCCTGACCATAACAGGTCTGTGAACCCCTCGGACTGTGTCGACATGGACTGTGATGGCATGAAGAAGGCCATGATTCGTGACCTGGACGGCAGCCTGCTGGGCTCCCCTGGCACCCTCATCCCCCAGTCAGAGTTTGAGTGGGATGGCGACCCGCGCCGCGGCCTAGGCGACTACCGCATACCCAAAGTCATGCTGACCAGACCGGATGGCTCCAGGATCCCCGTAGAGGATAAGGCGCCGAATAAGGGTGAGGGAATAGATGTGTTTTGCTATCTCTTGGTCATGAATGGAGCTCACAGAGAGTCTGTTCTGATATATCAGCACCTCAAAGACTTGGCAGTTGCTCAAGAATTGAGCAGTTTTGACATATATTGGGGATGCGGAAGATTGAATATTTGTTTTAAAGATAATGTTTTCTACTCTGGAAGCATGCAAATGCATCCTTGCTTTGCACCAGACGCAAACAGTAAGGGATGAATTATCAATTAAAGGATAACAAAGAATAAAATGTCAACTTTGATGTTGGATGTGTCCTGTTTAAGGTAACAATCTGTGGTGGTGCATTGTTTTTTCGGTGGTCTAGACATCGTTATTGTAGAACCAGACTGTTGAGGAACTTTGGTAGTGGAAAAGGAAATTCAGGAACTCTAAAAGTGGTTGAATGAAGAACAATGTAGATGCTTTCTTTACATCCTTCAAAATCTTTGGAAATAGCTCTTTATTAAAATTTGTCATAAAAAACACTCCAAAAGCTCCTCATCAAGACTCTAATTGACTTACGAGCCCACCCCCCCACATTCAGACTGAGCTTGCTGCTTTTGATCTTGATGAGAACATCTTTGTGACATGAGAGGCATGATAATGACATTCCCTTGCCCATTTTTCCAAAGGCATCTATCGAGGACACAACAATGAGTGCACATTCAACTCCAACTGGCGGGCGTATGAATGCCACGGAATTGACCACAGGATGCTGGTAGTGGAGAGCATGGACGCTGACACCGAAGTCCGCCGCCTGACGCCGCTGGCCATGTACAGTGACAGCTACGTGGACTTGATCAATGGGCCACAGGACAACGGCTGGTGCCATGGGTGAGCAGAAATTAACTCATGTACTGTCTTACCACAATATATCTAAGAAGTCGGGGTTTTAACAGAAGACGGGTTCAAATCTTTATAGAAGAAGTTGAAATGTGAAGAGATTGCATAGTTTGCCAGAGTACATCTACTTTCTACATTTTTACCACTCCCCCTTGATTTAACCCAATAGCTACATCTCTCTGCAAAATTGTATCTGTAGCCTATGATTTCTCATTACACTTTGATTTCAAAGACATGATTTAACTGTTACACAAGTTAATTCTCTACTGTGATACTGTGCCTTAGACGTAATCTGGGGAGTCTTATTCAAATTACATTTATCCCGCCGTCTTGTCTGGATCGATTCAGGGATCCTCCTCCAAACTTGCACGGCAAAATATTGCCAGTTTTCACATCTTCCCACATTAATTGGTCAAACAATGATGCTAACAGTTTTGCCTTTTACTTTCCAGGTACACTTGCCAGGAACGTATCAGCACTCTCTACACCATCGTGGCCACGGGCAAAGACTACGAGGTGTACTTCACCAGCACCAACCCTCAGGTTCTGCGCCTCCACCTGCTGAACTCGGATGAGAACCAGGCAGTGGTCCTGGGCATCTGGTACGCCAACCCCCAGCGACTTGATGTCTACTACAAGGTGCATATTGTTCTTTTTCCTTGATATGTTACCAGATTCCACAAAATTAGTCCTGATGTCATTTTTCTCTGCAATTCTGTCTCAGTTTATTTCAGAACGAGTAAACTGAACTCTTTTTATGATGATATTATTTGGATGAAAAATGTTGAGGGTTCATATTGGCTGGCATTGTGCAAAATGAAAGTATTTATGTAAAAGAGGCTCTGGTGACTTGCCACTCGTTTCGTCAGAGTTTGGTCAACTATCATCGATGATTTGGGTGGTTTGCAAATTCATAGTTTTTGAGCCTCTATTTTGTTGGGAATTGCCTGTTCATTTAAAGATCGAGTAAAACTGTTTATAATGGTTTCCTGTCTTAGAGCGTTCCGACTTTTTTGAGAGCTGTCACTCCACTGATCAAGATCTGTTTGCTTATCTGCCATTCCAATAGATCCACTCCACTATTGTTTGTTACAGCCATACAAACCATGAAACAAAAGTCTTTCATGTGCATACTTAGCAACGGCATGCACATTTCAAGCATGCGATGTGGCAATTGGATTTTTATAAAGAGAAATTGTATGTGTTCTTTGTTTAACAAGAATGAATATGTGACACCAACCAACGCTGACTACAGCACCGGCGAATTTACCTGGAAGGCCAAAGACCCATCCCTTCCTGCCGACCAGTACAACCCCTCGGTCACGTCCAATGTGCATGGTGAGAACTACTTCGAGCGCGATACCCAGACCCTTTGGCTTCTGGTCAAGGGCCCTGTGCCCGTGGAGATCCGCACCACGGCCGTCATCATGGTCACCTTCGGCGTGCCGGCCGTCTCAGTGGACAACTTCTACGAGGATGCCAACCTGGTGCGCAACCTGGCCGCCCTGCTCAACGTGGACCAGTCACAGATCCGTGTGGTGGACGTGGTGAGTGAGTCGAGTGGGCGCCGGCGCCGCCGTGCCGCGGAGGGGGAGGCGGAGGTGATTATGGAGATCGGCCCCCCACCATCGGAGACGATAGACTCACCGGGATCTGATACTGTGAACCAGACGAGCTCCAATACGACAACAGCTGCCCCGCCGAGTGGTTCAAGTATGTCTCCCTCTTCAATTCATACTGCCTCATGGGGGCGCCATATCCGACTTCTCTCTATCCTTGTCCCAATTAACTGTCATTTTTATGATCTGTAGTTGTACAAAGCCATGTTAAGTGTTCTGTAAGCCCTGGGCACGGTGCATACACTACATGTCTATTGGATAATCTGGCCCTGTAGCCATAGATATACACACACACACAAATTACACCAGATGCAAACCCCAACCTGGTTAAAAGCATTTTTTTTCTTTAAACTTTCATCTCATATCTATTGGCTTGCCAGCATCAGAGGTACACAAAGATTTCAATTTACAGACAGTCATCAAAGCTAGGCAGTCATGCGTGGTTTGTTGCCATCTTTGACAACTGCAAAGCAACCAGTCGTCCAGTGTTTCCTTTCCTTGAAAGTCTTATCTATCTGATTCCTCCTATCTCACCCCCACGTCTCCGCAAAGGAGTTAGAGTGGCATATAGCAGTTCCTTCCTTAATGGCCTTTAGTTTTGGGTTTTAGTCCTTACCTGATTGTGTGGGTTTCCCTGGAATATTTATCTGGGACTTATTTCCACGTCAGAAAGCTGAACATTTCTCCATTACTATTTTCATAGCAACTTATGATAATCGTATAACTTGCACTTAACACTCTGTTGGATGGATAGAAATAAATGACATGAAACAACGATCCTGTGGCAAAACAACTTATTTATGTCCTGTTTCCATGTCAGCCCCTGCACCAGGTGGCAACCTGAACTTTGACGATCTGGTGGAGGTCCAGTCCATCCTTGCTGACACCATGCAGTCTGGTGACCTCGGCGATGCCCTCAACATCACCGTCACCTCCATGCTGATGTCAGATCCCGTGGCCGTGGTGGTTGACCCAACTGGTGGTGTTCGTGCCACCAATGAGACAGGGGGCAGCAGTGACGTGCCCAGCGGAACCAAGACGTGAGTGGTTTTTTCTTGGCTACTCTTTATGGCATGTTGCAGCAAAAGTCTCTATTGTGGTGGGACCTTAGAGATGAAGATGGTGAAAGCATCACTCATACATTACTTAAAAGACTCTGAAGAGTAAAGAATTGTAATTAGATAAGTTAGGAGGACAGCCCACTATGATGTTTGGGGTCTAGAATTATCCAGTGGTTAGAACTGGTTCATTTTGAAAAAAAAAGGGCTGTAGACAAGTCCAATTACACGTCCTTTCACAAATTCAATTACAAGCTCAATAGTAGCAAGATAAGCCATGACCAAGTTTATTCAAGTTCCACATTCAAGATGCTCTTTATGTAAAAAGAAGATAAAATCTCAAATCACGTAGTTGTCCACATCTTTGGATGCTCCAGGTATGATGAGTTGATGCGGGAGGAAGAGGAACAGGAGAACGCCAACTTGGAGCTTGAGATTGAGTACCGCACCCCGGTGGCCCTGGTCCTGCACACCCAACCTGACGGAGCCCGAGAGGGAGCCGTCCTGACCCAGCAACCCACAGTGTATGCCGTTGATGCCCTGGTTAGGAGATTTGAGATTTCCCTCTCAGAACTTGTAAAGTTTGCTGTAAATTTGTAATCCTCCCATATAGGTGCTTGGAATCAGATGTGTTTACCTTTCATAACAATAAAACCTTTGCCGAGAATTACGCTGCCTTTCTTTGAGTATTTATTTTGTGGGGGTCTAATGCAAGTCTGTATCCATTCTGTGGTTTTTCACACTCTTCATTTGATTACACGTGTTGATTCGAGGCACTCTCAAAAATGCATCGGTAGACAGGCACCTTTGTACCAGAGAGATTGAAAGTGTAACTGCAAGAAAACACTTGCAAATTGTTAAAGTTGTGACTGCCTTTCCAAGACAAATGCCTTGTGGCAAACTTTATTGCAAACCTGTTTTAATTTTTCTGATCAGAATGCATATTCTTTTGATTTGTCTTTTTCAGGGCAACATTGTCCCTCAGCTGGGAGCTCGGCTGAACCCCTGGCAGCTGACCGTCTCCATCAACCCCTCCACCCCCAGTGCTGACACAATCCAGCTCACGGGCAACCTTACCGTGGCATTTGATGGCAGCTGGGCCAACTTCACGGATTTGACCCTCGACGTCCAGGCCTCAGGAGTCATCCTTGACTTCCAGATCACCTTGCCCAACACTTCCAGCCTGGAAGTCAGTGCCCAACCCTTTGATGTGGCAGTCCGGCCGTATTACCTGATGGCACTGACTTCGCCCGATGCGGCATCCATTAACTCAACTTTTGACGTGATTGTGGAATTGAGGGACGAGATCACTATGCTGGTCCCACAAAACCTGTCTGCCAAAGTAAGAAAGAGATGTCTTCAAATTTATTTAGGAGGATACACCGATGCATGGTATGATAAAGTGCCAGCAGAACACTATTTTTTTACAATGGAACTTATGGACACATCTTTGGGTCCACACATGGATTCTGCTCATAGTCCTACAGCTTTAACATGTTATTTATGGACCATTTACATTCAGCAGCCATCTTTGAGGTATTTTTCTCCCTACTGAACTAAATTAAGCACCTTCAAGATGGCTGCCGTGTCAGATATTTGTTAATATTTGAGTATTCCTTCATCATGGCTGATTCAATATTTGTACCCAAGATTTGTATCTACTTTTAGCCCTATCAAAAAAATTCATGTAGAATTTATGAATGATTTACAGTAATATCTGCCATCAGCAATATTTGGCACATTAATGGTCTAAAGAGAGTTAGTAAGAATTTCAGTTGTATTATTCATGTGACGTATTGTCATTTCCAGTGATTGGCTGTCAATTAATTACCACAGGGTCTGGAGTGGCATGCTCTGATAGCCCTCAACATGCCCACCAACTACAGGGGCCAATTGCGGGGTCAGCTGGAAACGACTTTTGACCTGGCCACTGCCCAGGCACAGTTCACCAATCTGTCCATAGATGCAGCCGGGGTGAGCTACATCCTGGCGGTCAGCGTGGAGACCATCCCGTCTAGTGCCTACCAGCTTGGTCTGATGCTTGACCCTTTCGATGTGGTAGACCCCAGCACTGTCAACGTGACCGGGCCAACAAGACGCCTGATGCTGCGCTTCGACGTCAGCTACGACGAGGTGGTGGCTGGCAAGGAGGACCTGCTGGAGATCAACTTCCTGAACTACATCAACGGCCGGTACACTGGTGTACTAATCAGCAGTGTTTTGATTGAGAGAGGTAATCAAATACTCAGGTCCCTATTCTTTCCTTTGGGCCATCCTTAGAGGTACACCGTTGTCCCTGTGAGACTTGTGTGGCTGCTTCTAAGAGCTAATGAAGACTATACTGCATGTGCTCGGTGGCTTGTACAACCATTGCATGGAGTTTCTCCTTGAAATTTTCATCTTAATGTGCACAAAATTATATCCCTTACATATTAGGAAATGATCCTGAGCACAGGTAAAATGAACGAAAAGTTCCTTTGGCAGCTTCTCCCAGGACTCATTGATGCATGCATCTCCATCATTTCAATAGCCTTTCTTGATATTTTCTCCTCCCCACCATGCGCCCCTAGGGTCCGTCCTGATCTCCTTTGACATGCAGGGTGATGTCGACACAGCTGTGGACGAGCTGTGGATGGACCTCCAGGGAGGGAGCTTCAGCCTGGAGTTTGACGGCTATACCCTGCAGGCTGAGTCGTACCTGTTAGTGAACGGCGAGGAGTATGGTGTGCCAACGGTGAGTGTGATAGGAGCAGGGACTTAAAACCTGCACCCTCAGATCTGGGAAATTTTGGAAGACAGTGAGTCAGACCCTTGGAAAGGGGAACAAACCTTTGGGGCTTCTGTTTCTCAGAAGTATTAAAATTAGTTTTAAGGACAATGAAAATGGCCGTTTTTGAGAATTTTGCCCATTACAAATGTGAATGCAGAAAGCTTCCATTTTTTCTGAGACTTTAACTTTTGTATAGCCACCTCCATATGTCTGTTTCTGCTCTGTATTCATCATGCACTTTTTTTCTTTGCTGACAAAAAACAGGCCAACAAAAATTTTAGCATTAGGAGAAAGTAAAATTGAAGTTTTACCAGTAAAATAGGCTAGGCAAAACCCTGCTTTTAAAAGTTGTATCACCTTCTCACAAAATAGCATTTGAGGTGAAAGACACATTGTATCTGTGAGCTGGGACTTGCAAAGCTTTTCTTTGTGAATAAGTGGAAATTGCATGGCCTGCAAAATGTTGCAAAAGTTTTAAAAACTGCACACTGTGAATTTCTGAAATATTCCCCAATGAAACGAGCATGTACATGCAGTTTCTCAGATGAGCATCTTACATAAAAACACTCACACCTGCAAGGTATGCCATCTGAGGGCAATGACCAGATTTGAAGCAGTTGTACCCTGTCCGCGTCCGTGTTCATGAAAACTTCGTTAGGTACGGGCTCCGAGGCAAGGTTAGATTTCTTTGGAGGTCATTATTTGTATTTTTGCTTCCTCACAGGAGCCGCCTGCGGGATTTCCCATTTGGGCAATTGCTGTGATTGTCGTCGTTGTCTTGGTGGTAGTTCTGCTCATTGTCCTTGTCATTGTCAAGCTTTGCTGCACACGAGGTCAGTCTCTCCAGGTCCCCTATCAACATTGCTCAAATTGTTGGCATTGTTTCCGCAAAAAGTCTAAATTCCCCCCCCCCAAAAAAATGAAAAAAATTAAAAAGAAATTAAATATGTGCAACAATACCATTGTAAACAATGCATGTTTAATCATACTTTCAACCTGTTGGCAAATATCAGACATCAAAAAAAATCTCCAGCCTGCCCCCCTCTGGAAAAATTCCTGGATCCACCCCTGAAAGTCGTGGAAAAGTAGTGAAAAACTGTGGGGAGAGGGTATCCCAAAATTCTGTTGTCAGAGAGAACAGTTGTGGAACAATGTTGTTCTAAAACTTTACTTTCATTTTCCCAAGCACCCCCATCCATTTTGTGGTATATTCCTTTAGAAAGTTGTCCAATAAAATCCCCTTCAATGGACTTGGCACATGCGTGGCATGTTGCGTACACACAGACTCCTGACCAATCAGACCCGATTCAACTGTCTTGTTTCCATGTGCCAGTGCATGATTTACGCAGCGGGCATTATCATTTCTCAGCAGGCATTAATGGTAATACACGGTCACGTGATGCATTTCGACAAATAGAAATAGAAAAACTCTCCCAGGTATTTATGAATAGTGGTTATGGCAGTCTTCAGTTCATTTTGTAGTTTTGCTGGCCTTTCCATGAAAATAGGCCTTTCTTTATCTCCACAAACTGCTTCCTCCAGGAAAGACAGTGAGCAGCGTGGAGGCAGCGCCACTGACTGAGAGCTTCAAGCTGAAGGAGTTTACCAGCTCCGGCTCCCTCAACAATCCCCTGCTGAAGGTGGACCATGAACCAGACGGATCAGCGTAAATATTGCTCAGTCTTTGATGAAGAAACAAAAAATAAAAGACACTCACCTTGACTGAACTTGACAACATAGCCCAAACCAAGTTTATTAGGAAAAAAAAAATTGGCGGTCTCTGGTCAGCGCACGTGTCGATTTTGAACCTGTGCATCAATTTTTTTTCCCCATTTTTTTGTCAAAATTTTTAAAACATATTTCCTTTATTTCCACACCGCCTGAATTTTTGCGAGTAGACTGATTCCCGGCTACAAATCCATAAGTCAGAAGTGCAATTTGTTCAAGGAACCAGACTAATTTGTGGGTAGCTCATACTGAGTGATAGATCGTTATGACTGCGTAATATTGATGTCGAACACAAACAGTAGACCATGGATAGGTTACAAAGTTGTAGCCAGCTGAACAACAACAACGGTGGCATGACTTGTGATGTGCTACTACTAGCCTTTGCTCTTTGATTAAATATGCCACTCATTTCCGTGTCCATTGCCAGTCTTAAAAAGCCAACCTTATCCTCCCTAAAAAAAATTTAAAAAACAACGAAGAAATGCATCGCCGCTTTAATTCTGGAACTTTGGTCTGACCAGAGACCGAGTATGTTTATTTTTGGCTCTGTACACCGAGGGTGCCCCTCAGTAATGGTAGTTACTGCCATTGTATCAGTTATGGGTAATGTCAAGTGATGGCCACTTGTCGACGTAATCTTGAGAGTAATAAAAAGCCAGGGCCCCTTCAAAAATAAGTCTGTTAGTCGGTTATTTCAATCCTCTCATTTTCCAAAGAAAAAAGGTGCATGATAATAAATTTAAAACGAAATTGAGTTACATCTGCTTAACTGTTGCTCGGACCGTCCCCTTGTTCACTGTATTTTTTCTTCTCTTTGCCAACTTTTGCCCTCTTTTGGTTTTGGTGTCTCTTGTCCTTACTTCCATTTCACATAATCTAATTTGTATTTTTTCATTTCATTTTTGCTACCATGAAGGTTTGATCCATATGCCAACGGGTCTCCCAACACGCCGAGACGCACCCCAGAAGTGGAGGTGACAGCCCTGCCACCAGGCTTCACCGAGTCTACCGGCCAAGAAGAACGACGTAAGTTGACAATGTTCAAGTCCCTAATCTTGAGATCACCTTCGACCTGTCAAAGATGTGCAATTAAGCCCTGTTAGTTCATTTTTGCTGCTAGGTAAAAAAAAAACACTCAAAGAACAGGTGTTTAAGAACCTTAGAATGAGAAAACTTTGAACCCTTGCTTTTAAAACTTTACTTTACCAATGCAGCTGTTTATTTTCTTTTGGTATTAATGCAACTCAACACCTGTGTGTTTTCACTTGTGAACATTACGTGATATTGAGGAAGTCTGTTTTATAAAATAGTCTATTGTAGGAGCTGTTGTGTTTGTAGACTTAAATTTGGCAGATATGTCCAGATTTTTCATAGGAACATTTCAAATTGTCCAATCTCTTTTACTGGAACTGTAGGTGTTTTTCAATTTTTCATCTCCCAGAACTCAAGTATAATCCTCAAGATTGCTCAGCAAAACACCTAAAGTTTGTTTCTCGCTCTTTCAAATGACATGAAGATAAATGTTCTCTGCAGATGGTAGTGTCATATGAGTATTACTAAAGTCATATAGTTGGTCACTAGTAATGATAAAATTACTACTTGTTGGCAGGTTCTCTCAGTTGTTTACCGTATGTACTTTTAAACCTAGAGCTTAATGTTCCCTCATGAGGACATGATCCAGAGATGACAGTAATCTGACAATTTGATAAAAATTGTAACACCTACCGTGCAGTTGAGGTGACTGTCTAGGACTATAACTGGATTCCACCATTTTTCATTTTTTGTTCAGTGCTGGAGGAGCGCATCAAGATGATGATCATGGTCAAGAACTCTGACGGCACCTTCCAGAAGCTGGGCGCCGTCCAGGCCAACAAGGTGGGCACGGCCCGGGCCCTGAGGGAGGACGTCAAACGCGCCCTGCCGGCCAAGCTGCGGGACAAGAAGTTCATCCTGCTGGATGAGACGCTGAAGGACATTGACGGGCCACGAGAGAAGAAAGCCATGCTGTCAGAGATCTACCGCTCCGAGTGCGTGCTGATGCGCTGGGTCAGAGACCAAGGTGAGCAGCTGGATTTTTGTCTTTTCCATCAGGTTTTTGTCCGTCGCCAAGATAAATCATATAAGTATCATACAGTTTGTTGCTGTTTCATCTGTTGTGAAGAAAAGTAGACTAGAGTGGTTTAAGTATAAAATATAATTTGTTTGAATTAATTAAATAATTTGTTTTAAATTTACAAACCACACTTCCGCTTGTTTTTGATCAACCGATACCTGTTCCAAGGATCCAGGTTTTAGGCTCTCCAAGTTCAAGAGTGAAAATGCACTCCAAGTGAAACATCACACCTACTTGAAACAAAGGACAAGACGAATTTGAGTGAAATTCCTGTACTTGAGTAGATCAAGCTCTCACTCAAGCTTTCACAGGGTGGCAGTTTTTAAAGCTTTGGACATAAGAGAGTAACTTGTCCAATTACTTTTATTTTCCCCTGTTGTTTGTCCAGATGTGGCCAAGCTGTGCGTGTGTGGCCTGGTGGGACAGTTTGAGTGCTCCCTCTGTCGACGGCAGACCTACTGCAGCCCCCAGTGCCAGTCCACTGACTGGGTGCGCCACAGCATGCAGTGTTCCAGCTACGCTGTGGCTTCAGTCGACAACCCTCGCTTGTAGAACCCCCTCTTGCACATCCCGGACATGATTTATATTCCCTTTTTTGTTTGTTTCCAGTTTGTAATTCCATCCAGAGGAGCACCTTGATTCAGATTTTTATTTTTGATGTTTTAATATCTAAAGTTTAGAAATGCATAGCTTATAGGTGTGTATGACCTATTGTTGTACAAAAAAGTTTAAGTGTGATTTTGTGATTTTTTGTTTTGCTCTTTATCTATAATTTGATCAATTCAGTCATTTGTGTGCACAAACATTATTAGTAGATTGGAGTTCTTTGATTCGAAAAAAATTTAATACACAAAAAAGATGTTGCTTATTTTATTTTGTATTTTATGATAAAAGCAATACCTCAAATTGTAGCATTTGATCTACATCTTCCGACTGCAGAAGAGGCCTGCCGGAATATGGCCATACATTTTTTTTTCGACAGTCATTTGCAAAAGTTCCAATCAAAGACCTCAAGATCTAAGGAAATGCCAAGTGATCTTATGGATTTATTTCAGGTAATAGCTCTTATATGTAGTACTTTTGGATGATTTTGATGTTTTTAGTCATTTTGGCAGCCTGCACTGCAGCATGTAAGTTATACATAATTTGAAGTAGTGGTGTGCATATTAAGGATATTGACATAGTTAATGATTTTTGTACAAGATTGATGTAAATTTTTTTGTACCGGGTATAGAATGTTTGTATTGCTTAAATATGGCATTTCTACTTTATCACTTTAAATTATCTGTAAAATAAAATTATATGTTTGTACTTCTTAAATGATTATTAATATCAAAGTATTCATACTTTGACCATAGAAAAGAGTGTAGAGTACTGTATGTCATTGGTGGTGACATAATGTCATTAAAGCCAGTTGTGCCAAAAAAGGGTCATCATCAAGCAGTCATACTCTCCTGGAAACTTGAAATGGTCACAGGAAATAGCTTTATGGACCAAAATTACAGGGGTAATAATGACTTTATATGGTGGCCTATAAATGCCACTGTTGATGTTCTTAGGCACTTCACTGATACATCTTATTATTACCATTGCAAAGCCATAACTGTTTCACTGTACACATTTGTTACCTGTTTTGAGGGTTTGCCAACTGTTATAATCCTTTTACGGTAGAGAGGAACTCATTCTAAAAATTCTGATCGAGTGTGTGATGCAAAAAGCCAGTTGCTGAAGGTTTTGTTGATTCTTCATCAGTTCCAGGATGGAACTTTCATCTAATTATACACTTTATATGCCTTGTTGTCAAAAAGTGTGTGTCTGTAGTTGTAATGAGCATTGCTCTTTTTTGACTGACATTCCACTCAATTTATAGAGAGTTTTAACCAACTTGTGAAGAGAATATTTTGTGAGAAACATTTTCTTTTTCTAATGTTTTCGTTGAGTAAGAATTAGGGTTAGTGGAATGTAAATACTTAATTATAGGCTGACCATTGTAGTTCACATCAAAGCAAAAGGGCTGAATAATTTTATTTGTAAAAAGGAGATTTTTACTGTGAGAGTTGAATAATGTATGCATCATCTTGTTTTATGAAAAAAAAACGTTAGCAGTACCTGAATGATGGAAGGCTTGATATAATATTTTTGCCATACACTACAGAAGATCAGCCTATCTTTTAGCATGCTTCATCTGTGAAAGAAGTTCTTTCACAGATGAACCATGCTAAAAGATATACATTTACTTACATACTATTTTCTCAAAATAGTGCACATTGTGGTCAGTATATTTTACATAATCTCGAGAGTACTATTTTTATCAGTTGAGTATTTTGTTAGTTTTGTAGTATTGTGTGTGTGTGTGCCATCATGGAATAAAGTTTGTGCTGAAAAAAAATTGGCATTTCATGTTAATGTTTGCTCAGTTTAGGTCCAAAACTTAGATGGTGGGGCAAATAGGATGACCTTATTACACCTGTGTGAAGATTATCCCCCCAAAAATTGAACAGAAACTGGAGAATGGTAAGTCAAGCTTTGATGTGCATATTGTGCATGGCATGTGGACTTGACATCTACAATTCTGCCCGAGTATTTATTTTTTCCGCCTATGGTTGTTGTTTTGTATTTTTTTTTTTTTGCTGCGATGGAAAATTTTGCCATTGAAAACCCAAGGCTGCAGTGTATTAAAATAAAAATATGCATCCAGGACAAATCTCAACCCCCGCCCCCATCGTCGTTCAGTGTTGCCTGTCATGCTCTTATCAGGTTTTCGCTCCCGGCCGCTGGAGATAACGTGGACCGGGAAGTGTGCGGTGGACCTGGCCGCGCCAGGGAGGATTGCTCATCGTGAAAAGTCCCAACTGTTGAAACTTCGTTGACTAACCCACCTCCGAACACCACCCACAGAGTACCACTCCATTATCCGCACATAGCGCCCTCTATAATTTGTGTTCCACATCGGCGGGACGGACAAGCACCTAGACGTCTACACGTGTGATCGAGTACAAACCGTAGACATTCTATAGCTATCTCTGACTATCATTGTGCTGATGAAACAATAAAAACGTACATGTACGTTCAGGTAAAAATCAAAGAGACGTTGATCCGTGTTGCACAATCAGCTGGTGATCTGTCAAAAGCAGTGGACAAAGTGAGTGGGGTGTAAAGGATTTCAACGTCCTCTCGTATTAGACCAGTCCGGGTGGAATATAACCATTTCTTCAAAGGTTGGTAAAGCAGTTAAAATTATTGCATTCAGACAGAGTTGAGCCCTTTGACTTCTTGTGAGGCTGTAATTTTTGGAGTACGCCTATGTGGGCCCCAGCCCAGGTTGGACCATGGTTGGACGTTGTCTTCATCTGAACACTACGATTGACGTCCAGGATATCATCATCATTTAGACCTAGGGCCTACAACAGCCCTCCTAGTCCAACAATGCGAAATTATTTTCAATGGATTTTTCTCACATTTTACCTGCCGAAGACAGCTCAAATGTCGTTCACAAGTGCCTTGTATCTCGATCGAATTGAAGGTCGAATATTCGAATAGTGAATTATTTGAATTGACTCGGCCCTATATACTGACAAAGGAGTATATATATATGGCCCTGTTTATAGGTCTAGCCTAGGCCCTAACTGCTGGTCGTAAGGTGTAGGCCTACCATGGAGTTCAGGAGGTACCTCCCTGGGCATACAAGTGAAAAATTTTGTCCCCTAGCTGCTCTTGCATGTAGGGTTGATGTGGCCAGGCATATTGTCAATGACATCTGGTCTTGGCCAATTGCCAGCTTTCCTTCTTCGTTAACAATAACATATCATGAATAGCTCAGGTCAACCCAGCAAGTGTTAGTCACTGCACTGTTATTGTTGGACGTGTTGATTGATCAGCACAATCAGTCAAACCTGTATGAAATCTCCAACTTTAGCCCCTGCTTCCCATTTTTGTAACACTCTTCAACAACTGCGAAGTTCTCTCTGTCCATGTTTCCTGGTGTTTAATGTTTGGTTTTTTGTTTCTAAGGCTCTCTCTTCAAGCTCTGCCTCAGGAAGTATGCCTATACCCATCTAATTTTTGTCCCTAGCGATGTAGCCAGTATATTTGATAAATACATTTCTGTAGGTCATTCCCGTTGTTTTCCATATAAAGAACATGTTTACCTGAATTTTCATTGATTGCGTGTTTTGTTCTTGTGATTACTTTAGAATTTTTTTATCTTTTTTACTTCTGTTAATTGCTTTTGAGTTCTCAAAACTCATCTCTTTAAAGAAGCTTTTCCCAACACCTAATTTAACACCTTAGCTAGTGATGAGTATTGTTACACACAGTTGAGTATATTCGTATGGTATCTGCAGGATGTAAATGTTTCCTTCGTATTGTTATTATCAGCACTGACAAGTTCGTACTTAGTATGGCTTGAGGTGCTGTAAATGCTTCATTTACTCATTGTTAAGCTTTGTCTTCATAAACATAACTGTATCTTCTTCCTTTTGTACCGTACATTCCATGTGAATTGTATTTTTGTTCATGGCTGGATATAAATAAATGTTGCTGCCTTTACAAAAAAACTTGTAGAAATTAGGCCGCAAGAAAATTGGTTGAGGGCAGAGTTATCAGCAAATCATCGCACGAGATTAGCATATCATGAAAAGATGAAACGATTGTGCAGATTGAACGGTCAAGCCCAGCACTAATTGACACCGTAAATATAGCATTCAGGCTAATAACAACACAAGTTGATATTTGAGTGGTACAGATCTGTCTAGTCCAAGCTCCGGCCAATCCCAAACAACCCTCAAACTGCAACTATTATACTGGTACCTGGCTGACTTTCTCGCCTTCTCGCACTGAATTTGTCCCTGTATTGTGTTTTTCCTCAGTGTCACTTTATTGTAAAGTGCAGGGCAAGAATTTTGTTCTTGAAGGAGCAAGGCAATTTCTCATTTGCAAAGGGCACTTGTTTTAGAAAATCCATTTGTCTATGGGGACATTTCAATGGGCATTGAGGCAAAGACCAGGGGCATCAAGGCAGTTGCCTCCGAAACCTCAATGTTTTGGCCTGTAAGCGCATTGAGATTTCATGTGTTCCCGGAGAGCATGGGATAGTGCTTGCTGACAGTAGTAACATTGTTTTCAATATTTTAATGTATTTGCTCTTGTAATAGACTTTAGTTTATTGACAGCTTAAATTGATTTTTGGCAAGGAGACATACTTTGGGTGGGACTTGTGCTTATGGGACCATGTTGACAGGGACGTTCATAAGTACAGTCATATTGGATCCAATGTACAAATTTGTCAGAAAGGGCCGTCTTATGAACTGCAACTAAATATCTGATCCACTTGCCCTTCTCCCGTTACTGGAATTGGTTCACCTAAAACCTTTGTTCTCCAAAAAGAAGAGAAAATTAGCTGGGAAACCATCGACTTAAAAACAGGCTCTTCTCAAAATTAAACCTGTGAAGTTGTCTTGGTTTTGTAGTGAAAAAAATGCGAGCGATGTTTCGCTCCAGTTCATTAAAGATGTACAGTATTACCAAGGGAAATAAGCGTGTAAACCCTTGTGTCATAAAATATTTAATTATTCAAGTAATTAAATATTTGGATACACTGTATAGAAATCGGGGATCAGCTGATTACATGAAAACAAATGGGACATGAAATGTGTCAATTATTCACATACTGCACCAGCAATTAGTAAAACTGATGCAGACCAACATGTCCAATGTGATAGACCAGTGTATTCCATTCAAATGGGTGGGCATCAAATTCAACCTGACACTGGCAGGGTCAACTGCCAACTGCTGTTTGCCAGCACAGAGGCACCATTAAGAAATGCAATGTTGTCCACTCCCACTGTCCAGTCTCAGTACAGTTCAGCCATGGAGGACAATACTCCCAGCTCTAATCCAGTCATTGTGTTTGGGGCCAGAGGACAGCTGGCCTGTATTGTGATAAACAGCTGGCCTGTATTGTGATAAACAGCTGGCTGTGTACAGTCTCAGGCACCAGGGGTAGACCCCAGGATTATGTAACAGTGTCACAAAACATTGTTGACCAGTGAGGTGCCCACTGTGGTCAGTGGGGAGGGGCAGGTCTGCAGATAACCAATTAATAGGGGGAGGGCTTAAACAGATTATATTTTTGTGCAGGTACTGTAGTCTTAAGTAAAAAAAGTTGATTGTCAGGTTTTTTACCAAATTAGGATGAGGGCCTGATTATTCTTTCATCAACTTTTGCTTACTCTTCAGTTAAAAATGACTGCCAGATTTTGTTAGCTATCCTATCAGTAAGTAGAACCAAAATATTCATTCTGTCTGTCGACAGTTAAGAACCAGTTACATGTAATATCATTATACCCCCAAAGTGAAAAGGACATGTGTACAGCACATGTACATGACAGGTGTCGGCATTGCTTCTCGGAATTTTTCTTTTGACTAAAGGAGATGAATAGATTTTTCTTTATTTTGAGAACATCAGGCATCAGTCGTTCAAAGGCCAATCCATTTTGCCCTACCCCATTATAGAACCTGGAAACCATGCCCCCCTCACAAAAGTGTGTGGGGGAGGGGGGGCCACCACCCCCCTTGTCCTTCCACCCTTTACCTCTGGGGCTGCATACATGTATTAGCCTACTGTATTATGTATACAGTGTGCTCAAAAGAAGAAAGAATAAAAAAGACATCTGGTTTTTTTTCTTCGCCATTAAAAATCTCTTTATCCCCTCTACCCATTGTGTATGACCACAGCTTTCTCTATGGCATGACTGCAGCATGATCAGGTCATGCTTGACATGTGCTCTGCAGTACCCAGCATGCTTTATTGAATTGAATATCCCAGGCCACTTACAGGTCAGTAAATATCGGTAGTTGTAGCCTTTTCCCTTCACTTCCAAATTGCCTGGAAAAGCCATGAAGTGCAAACTACATGTAATCCTACTCCCTGGTGGAAGTGAGCATACGTACATGTACATGTATGTATGTTTAGGATTCAAATTGTTATTATTATTTATTTATTTATTTATTTATTTTGTTGCAAATGCGAGAAAACAGGTTTTTCTGAGTTCTTTTTGTCGCAAGAGTTTTCATATACAGTATGCATACATACATGTACATGTACATATTGCAGATATCTGAACAGCACTTCAATACAATATTGTACACTTATGGCTCAATGGCTGAATGAGGTACCGTCATGGGCAATGTGTCAAAGTGTTATTGTCAAGAAACAACCTTCCTTCTAAGTCTTTGTTTTTTTGCTTTTCAAATGTTCTCCTGTAAATTTGTTTGGGCTCCTAGTCTGGATGGTAAACTTCAAACAAATACATGCGTGGTTGAAAATGGGAGCAGGGACTGCATGAAAGCGAAAACAACGATGAAAACTGTGTGTCCCCGAAAGTATGTTTTTGGTAGTACATGCACCGGTATTCAGTCCAACTGATTTCAAAATGGTTGATTTAATGCATAGGCAAGCCACGTACATAAAATATAACGAGCACACTTAACCGCATTGAGTGGTCAATTTCTTTGTTAAGAATTGGAAAGTCTAAACTGAGTTGGGGGGACCAGCCGTGACATTTTGGGTCCCTGCAACATCTGTTTTCAACACATTTGTAGTTCCTGCAAATATGAAACGAGTACATGTGTACATGTATGTGTGATGATGCACATATGTGCGGCTTGAGTGAGATACAGTTTCAAACACATACCGGTACATGTACATGTGTGTATGTGCAGACATATAGTGTAAATTATGTACATGTACATGTGTGTTGTAATTCATGCACAAGTTCTGCTTCTAAGAATTACACTGTAGGTCATGTTGCACTGGTGCGTAGTTTGGATTTGGCCCTGTAGTGGAGCTGTAGAGTATTTTTGTTTCTTTACTTTCACTAGTTGCACTTGTAGGACATGCACTGTCGTCATTTGTTGGAGGTTGGTAATTCTCAATATTGTACGCATTATGGCATTAACGGCGGTACATGTAGCCCGTTACACGTACTTTTGTGCCTCTGCATACTGTGTAAAAGGAAGACCTTTGATCTAATACACCGACATACAAAATGGCGCTGAGTTCTTGACGTGATCCAGCCTTGCAGTCATTTGAAGTTTAACCACTTCTCAACCTGTAGAGCATTGTGTTTAGTTGTAATGCACATGTACCTGTGGGAAAACAAGTTTCCCGGTCTTCAGCCGCAAGCGTGGTCACTCGTGCTTCCCTTTCACTTCCCGGCTTTACATTGTGAAGTGTAATGTTTTCTCCTATTCAGGAAGCTCTTTGATCATTTCCTGTATTACTTTGCACACCTGGCTGTCCAGGGAAACTACATACATGTACATAGGGAACTAGCAGAGCCATAAATATGTGTAGTATGTACAGTGTGCATGCACGCATGTAAAAATGTTGGACACGCTTCTACATGTACATGTACATTGGGTCTACAAGTGTATTATTACATTTACATCGGTTTACATGTGTGTCCTGCAGTTGCATTATACAGGTACATGTACTTTCATTGTGCATGCCCAGCACTTGTCACTTCATGTATTCACACACAAATGATTCACGGAGTTCTTGCATTCAAATTGTCTATCATATTTATAATTAAATCACATCCGATTGTCTGTGAACTGTGTCACTTAAACCATCTGCATGCATTGACAGCTCCAGCTGACAAACTTATTAGTGGATTCCTTAATGGCAGCAATTAGTGACTGTTAAAATACCGGATATGTTGCAACTTTTTATGTTTTGTTGTAATTTTTCAGGGGGGAGGGGCAGAAATAGACAATTCTGGGAGAACAACCCGTGTTTGTGAACAGCAAAGAACCCACACGCAGGATAACTGCAGGATTTCATGTATGTGGCGAAAGTCCATCATCTGACACAAAACAAAGTGAACTTTGAGCTGTTAAACAAAATTTTAATTGAATGATGCCAGATGAGATTATTACACATCTTGTGCAAATGTTGTGTGGGTTGGGGACATACACTTAAACAGTTACATCACAGGGTATGGGGTATGTTTATTTTTATAATCCAGGTGCCTGGACAATACAGTGGAGAAGTGATTATTCTTACATGTAAATTGCCTGTCCATGGGGGGGGGACAGGGATCCTGTTGGCCACCTCCTCACTTGGAGACACGTCACTTTTTTTAGGAATTGGAAGAGCCAATGCTTTAGAGATGGTACCAGAGCCTTCCTTGTGGGAGGATTCTTTTTTTTTGAGATGAGAAAACTTTTGAGAAAGAAAATAACCCCCAAATGTTGCTTCTCCATTCCAGACTCAAAACCTAGGTACTGGTATAGCGCTTATCAAACTGTAGCCTGGTGTAAACATCATGGTTGTGGAAGTAACATCAATATGATTGTCCACAACAGGCATTTTGAACATACAATGTAACATGAAATGAGCTTTGACCCTGACTATTTGGCAAATCAATCTGTTTCAAAATGGCTCTATCCGCTCCAAGCGGAACAAAAGAGGGCGTGTTTTTTGGGTACTCACCACATAGGTGTGCCATGAGGCGCGCAAGTATGTGCGTGTTTGATGCGGAGCACGCTGAGTATGCTTAACTAATTTCCTCCGGCTTGTATGGTCTTTGCGTACAAGCAGAACACGTGCAAGAGCCTGCTTGTAACCACCTGTCTTTCTTTCACCAATTGGGGGTGCACTTCAGCTCAACTGACAATACTTTACTGCAATACTGCAATACTTTATTTACACCTACATGTACCTGTTCTGTCCGTATCAATATTCCCATGAACTGTCTGCTGTAAATTACACTGTATTTCCAAAGGGCTCTGTGTACACTTATTTTGCAAATCCTTGGAGGTGATCACATTATGTGTGTAATGTAGGTCTCTTACCTAACCTACCGGTAAAACCCTAAGCCTGTGAAGATTGTGGGAGCTTTTCCTTTCAAAGTGTTCTTCACAGCTATAAATTGTCCGCATTTTACACTTGTAGTTTTGCGAGTTCACGAGGGCGGTATTCCACCTACCAGCAGCCTATTTCACTGGATCACTGCAGGCAACTGAACTCTATTGAAAGTCACCACGATGAACTCACAGAACAGCCTGAGTCCTGAAAGCCCCATGGGTTCCCAGACCCATCACAAGAAGTACAGGCGCCAGACGCACAAGCGGATATTTGTCAACCGCAGCCTCAACATGGAGAAGATAAAGTATTTTGGTTTCGACATGGATTACACGCTAGCAAGTAGGTTTTGCAGTTGTTCTTGATACCTTTTCAAATTACCGGTATTTGTCAGATATAAAATGACTGTATGAGGTTCTTGTCTGACACCATCCTTATGCTTCTACCTCTCCAAGTACACACATGTACTTCATGGCTATGAGAACCCCAATTTTAGCCATAAAAACAACATTCCTTCTTACACAACTGGAATATTACCTTCATAACTGGCTTAACAAATTCTCATGTTTGAGCCCCCCCACCTCCCATACAGCTAGAGTTTTGCCATTGAGGGACTACCATAAAACACTGCAATAGAATAAATGTAAACCAAGTCAGCCACAAGCCAATTTTTCTTGTAAAATTTTGTTTGAGTCCAGTTTTAACAGTGGGTGTCCTTGAAAATGAAATTGACTTTCAGAGAAAATGAATATCATTTAATTTCACTGCAGGATTTTCTGAGAATTCACAACATTTCAAATTCAGTTACAAGCCTTTTGTTGTAAAATTTTGTTTTTAAAAGTGACTCCAGTTTTAAAAGTGGGTGTCCATGAAAATGAAATTGACTTTCAGAGAAAATGACTATAGTTCTGAGAATTCACATTGCAGTAATAAGAGCATGGAAGATTAATGAGAGTGGCCATGCTTGATAAAGCTGTACAAATTACATGTAGCCCAGCACTTCATTGAATTTTTCCTTGTCAATGGCCTTGCGTACGGTAATTGTGACATGTACTGTATGTTCTTAAATCTTGGTAGTGACTGCAATGCATACTTTCATTTAAAAACTGGCTTACGTATACAATGTATGAACACTAACAGTGTCTCCAGATGCAGTACGCATGAATGCTTCCTGAATTTACTGTTCCACACAGATATTTTTATAAAAGTTATCTTTTGTCACAACAAGGTTGGGCCTGCTTTAGTCAATCTCAAAGGCAAAGGAATGCTTTTGGAGTTTTTCCTTTTTTTTTCTGTTACCGCCGACTGTGCATTCACTTACAATGTTTGTACCGATACGTGTAAAGGTTCCTTGCCATTTGGGTATAAACTCACGTAAACAGGTGTGATGTTACACACCATCAGTTAGGAAGATACAGTTAATAAAAACTTTAGGAAAACTACATAGCCACATCTGAATAGTTGTCTTTTGCTGCTAACAAAAATTGTCGCCATTGGCATGTGGCTGTGAGAAACCACAGATCTACCTGGTAGTCAAAATGCCCATATCAGAATGGCCCAAGTACTTGAATTGGAATTATTTTAATTTAACCAATAGTGGATCCAGGGGGGCCAACAGTGATCAAGGCCCCCTCCCCCAAGGGATCAAGAAAGCTTTTTGTTCTAGACAAATAATTGGAAATAGGTATGGTAACTTTGGGGGGGGGCTTTTTCACTTCCCCACCGGTACCTCTCACAAAGTACTTCAAAAGCCTCAAACATATAGCCTCCATGTTTCTCAAAAAATAAAAGGGTGCATAAAGAAATTTTCCAAAATTTGTTACCCCCCTCACAAAACAAATGGACCCCACCAAAATTTGATTTTTAATTTTATCCCAGTGCCCCCATATGGAGTGTAGAGGGCCCATTAAGTGCAACTTGAATGTGGTACATGTCCATTGGTTTCTATGAAATTAACTGCATTTCTTGTTTACATGTATTAGTACACCAAGCCGTCTCCTTAAAAAGGGAAGGAAAAACTCAAAGCACATTTTGGTCATTTGTCACTGCATCCAAACTCAAACTGTTTGAACGAAGAAGAAATTTGGACTACCGATAGTTGCATGCAATTGAAGCCCATTGTTTTGGTTGTCAATTCACAGTGTACAAATCTCCACAGTATGAGCAGCTGGGCTTTGATTTGGTCATCGAGCGACTGGTCTCTATCGGTTACCCTCAGGTTTGTTCGGCCTTGTCATCCATTCTTTTCTCCATGCTTTCATCCCGCCTTCTTTAATTCCCCGCTCCTCTTCCCCTAGTCAATCAGTAGACCGGTTAACTTTTGCTGTAAATCTCTATTCAGACTTCCCCTGAACCACAGTGGGCACATGTAAGAAGGAGATTCCGATTTCCTGGTTGAGAATCATGGCCAGGCATGAGAATATTTTCCCCTTTTGGCCGGGCCTTTATACTAAGATTGTGATTCGTTGGGATTTGTCTAGATTTGAGATTTGGGGGGGTCCAAAATGGGTGGTGTCTACAGGTGACACATTTAGTTTTTTTTACATGTTGACACTTTAAACCAAAAATCTGAGGGAAGTGGATCAATCACAGTCAGTCACGATATAGATTATGGTACAGTCACAGTATAAATTACTACTGTCATTGTTTCAACCTCTTTGTAGTGGCATAGCCACAGGGGGCCTGGGAGGCATGTACCACCCCCCTCCCACAATTGTCCAGTTTCCCCCTGGTGCTCCCCCCACTGAAAAAAAAACAAAACAGATGAATGGATATTGAACAAGGCTAACAAAACTTGTCCCAAATAACCACACCACTGAAAGCTGGTGCCCCAATAAGATGCTGGTGCTCCCTTAGTGCCTCCCACTAGTAAAAACCTAGCTACGCCACTGCCCCTTTGCCTGTCTGAAACGGGGTTTAATACCTTTTTGTAATGCAGCTTTCTTGTTTTGCTAGTGACCAAACCAGGGGTGAGATTCCTCCGGATTTCCAGATTTTTCAGAAATCCGGTGTTGGTTTTGCAGATTTTGTTGGAAAAACACTTTTGTTGGAATTATTTGCAAAATAATATTCATGCACCACTTGGTAAAGTCTAGTACAGGCGATCAAGAAGTACACAAACTGATGTTACTCCCTCTGAAATACTGTAGTATGCAGAAAGGGTATGTTGGGGTAGTGATAGTGAAAGTAATGACAGAATGGGACATACATGAATTGGTATTTCCAGAAATAAGGGTCCAAAAATGTGACATTTTCTTGTCCCTGTTTTATCTGACCTTTGTTATTTGACATGGAAATATCACCTGAATTGATTTCAAACTATTACTATTTATTTGGCAGGTAATTTGCATTAATTCATCACTTTTGGAAAAGAGAAAATGTGTTCTGGACCTACAAAAATCAAATGTCAGATGTGACAGGGACACACACAAAAAATGGACCCTGAATTTCTGAAATCACCCATATTGTATATTCCCACACATATATGTGAATGTTTGCAGCAGGTCCAGAACCTAAGTACGAAACAAACCAGCAATGCATGTCATGTGTTGTGCATGTGTTACTGCAGCAAAACATGGATACCGTTTTGAGTTGCATGCGCACATGTGGCTGATTCCATGTGGCTTTCTACCGAAAGATCGATTGATTTTTGAGATATTTCACAGGATATAGGTGACTCTTTATAATTTGGCAAAATGGCCTATCAAATAATTGACCGAGATAGGGATGTATCTGTTGATAAAGGTGTCACAAATCTGTGGAGGTTTTCATGGTTGGAGATGGAGATACTGGTACAATGAATTGTGAACATGGTGAAGTGACAAGAGCGGAACAGGAAAGGAAGACGGTATTCATGTATTACAGAGATTTCCTTGTAAAAATTAATAAGTTTGGACACTGCAAATGCTTGACGTGTGATAAGTTGGTTAAGTACAAGTACATGTACATATCTGATGTTGGAGCCTTAACGTGTAGTACCTGTATGTTGTACATGTAAGTGTTCATAAACAGTGTGTAATAGAGTACCCAAGTGAATAGGTCATGCGCACAAATAGTGTGTAAAAGGCATGAGCGCGTGAACCAGGACGTGAACCAACACGCATGCGTATTCCATTCGTTTGCACTGCACTTTCTGGTTCACAGTGACGTCACACTTCGGTACTCTATAATTGAATTTCTTTTTAAACGTGGAATTTATGAATACAACACTACTGCAAACTACTTGCTGAGGTGACTACGGTGACCTATTAAAAATACACAAAATAAGGAGGGCCTGACGTTTTGATCCTAGCAGAATCTTTCTTAATGGCAAAAAAAACAAGGAACTCCTTACTTGTGCATGACGTGTACTCAATATCCTGCTGTTAAGTAAGCTGCCTAAAATGTACATGTACACATGTATGCACATACATTGTATATAATATGTATACATGTACATACATGGGTTAATGCAACGAAATGTGCATGCCATTGACCGTGTTTACATTCACATACCGGTATGTAGTATACATGTACATGTACCGTACATACATGTACATGTACAATAATACCAACCGAAGTTCGTGGATTTTTCGTTGTGGTCCGGTCTCACCCCTGCGGAACAAATCAGCCAAAAGACATCCTTGTTAACCACTCAAAACATATCACCATGCAACCCTGTGATTCGCCTGTTTTGCAGAAAAATTCTCTGGAAACAGATTATACAAATATTTATGAATTTATCTTTTTGGCCTTGTATCGTGTAAATTTAAATTTTATAAACTTACAGTTTGATGATATCCTGTTATTCAAGTCATGGCCAGGTGTTTTTTAGTGTTTCGTTTCACATCGTCTGTCAATCGTGCATGTGTGACCAAACGATTGATTTCCTGCAACCCTATATTGTTGCGCATGTTTTTTTGGGGGGGGAGGGGAGATGTTTTGTAGTGTTTTTGTTTTGTTTGGCAGAAGACCGTCCTGCAAGTGTAGTGCCGTCATTCAACCTTGGATTCCTCTTAAATCCATTCTCCTCTAGTTTTTGTGTTTTGCATTGCATACTTGCAGAGAGACACTACTTGCAGCAATTTGATTTGAATAAAAAAGAAAGAAAGTATTTTAAAGCCAAAAAATAGTAATGGCGGTTCGCAGAGACTGGGACGCTGCAAGTGCTTCAGCACCCAGAAACTTTCAGATGGAATTGGTGATGTAAACACTCACACTTTAATTGAACAATGTAATAGTCATGAGCGTGCACATCCTGTGATCCAGCATTCCTTGGCAAAAATGGGTTCCAGCTGGCTCATGTTCATGCATGTTACATGGATCAAACGTGATTAGTTCCGTTAGACGCGTCCTGCATTTGTTCATCCGCGGCTCTGGTTATAGTATATTGAAAATTAGCACACATTTTTTTGTGAAAAAAAAAAGATCGGGAGGGGGGGGCGGGTTAACTTGAGCAGACAATTAAAAAAGGTACATTAGTTTGCAAAGCATGTGTAGGTTCGTGTGGACTGGCGGTTGAATGAACTTTGCTCAGGGGATGAACTGACAGGGTTCTAATCATGCTGCCCTCGTGTGACCAATAGACAGAGGATGTTGAGTAACGACATCCAGCACACCTGCTAGACTTTGAAATATCTTGCTTAACTTAATAGTTGCATACTCACTGCAGGGATATTTTTATCACAGTAGAAAACGTCCGTTGACTCACGTATTGTCAGAAAGTGCAATCAACCTGCTTGTCTTTTTTTGGAAGTGGTTTCATGGGTACTTTGTGTAAGGTCATAATCTCCTGGCAGCACCATGCTTTTGTGCTTTTTGGGGGAGGGGGAGCATATTTCACATTTACAGTTTTGTGTTTTCCATTTGCTGAAACTTTCCCAGTACACTTGACATTTCAAGCAAAAATGCCCTCGTCCACATGCACCCCTGTCAGTGTGTAAAACCTGGAATATGACAAAGTACACGTATGCCTTATCTATTCATGCATGTATACTTGTATGAGCCCTCCTCCCGTCCCCATCCCGGCAACGGTCACAATCATGATACTTACCTTTTTTTGAGAAAAACTCTATAGGGTTTGTTCACCGGAGTATTTTGAAGTATTGAGGAAAAAAGTTATCCTTCACCTGCAGTGAAAGTGGGAAATTTTGGATTTTGGAGGATCGAGGAAGGTGCTCAGCAGAAATGGCCTGGGGGTTAGGGTTAGTCGCAATGGAATTTTTTTTTTTTTATTGGTCAGTGGCTTGATACTCGGGGACCTTTAAATGCATAACTGAGTGATATGTACATGTACCAGTACATGAGACCAACATTTGAAATCATTAGGGGATAGCAGGTGGAGAGGGCGGTAGGGGGCCGTTATGGTGCTTCAGAAGGAACAATTTTTTTTACTACAAAAGTACTGAGGGAAAGATGACTGGAGGACTATTTTGTTGAACTTCCAAAAAGATGGAAAAAAAACCTGCAAACTTAAGCCTCACCACTCAGAAAGACCGTAAAAAGTTTCAAACTTTTGGCTTCTGAAAAATAATTCTAACCCCTGCAAGAAATTGGATCCACTCTTGTTGATATTTGTACCAGAACTCAAGCTCTCATTTGATACGGTACCTGGTGTGTAGTATGTTGTGCAGTACATGTGTACTTGCAGCATTCTTAAATTTGCATGATAAATTTACAGGTTGATAATTTTGTTTCTTTGGTGTGATTGACTATCCCATTGGTTTTGTTGTTTTTGGTTGTCTATCTGGTTCGTAAGTGACTTCGTCACAAAGGCGGACACGCAACAATTTGCAGACTCCCATTGGTTCCATGATTCCATGGTTCCATGTAAACAGTGATCAATGCACGTAAAGTATGTGCAGTGCATGCGCAGTGGGCGTGATTTAAACTGAAGTGAAGTCACACTTACGAACTGGATATCAACGTTAGCACCCAACCATCTCCTCTTACAAAAAACCCAGGTTGGCATTACATTTCATGTAACGTCAAATGAAATTTGTAATTTTATGTTTATCTTTGTTGATGTCTTCACCCCACAGGAATTGTACAGCTTTGTCTATGACCCGTGCTTCCCTATCCGAGGTCTGTTCTTTGATAAGCTCTATGGCAATTTACTCAAGGTACGTAAAGGGGGGAAGGATTGTCAATGTGCTACTCCTCGGAGAAATTCTCCTCAGCACTCAACATTGCTTTAAAAAGTTGCAGTAGGGAGTAAAGGCAGTGCCTGGGTTGCTCAGCCGCTGCTAGGAATAATGTGCATACATGTACCTTTGGAAGCCACTGGGTAGTGGATAAGGCTTTATTCCATACAGATGTGTGTTTTCACCAGCCAGAGCCAAGTCCCATGCCCAGTAATTCTTTTCTCTCATTTTACCTGCTTTGTGGAGTCACACTGGTCACATTATAAGACTTTGCCCTACTTCAAATGTTGTCGACAGTTTGACAGAACTCGTAATTATACTGTAGTCACGGAGGAACACCCTCCATATGAATGAGTGACTCAAATATCAAGAGGAAATAGCTACAGTACTCTAACCTTTTAAAATCCCTAGCATCTTCAGAAAATGTGTAAAACTTGAATAAACATGTGTTGTGTTCCTTTCTGTTGACAGATGGATCCGTATGGCAACATCCTGGTGGCAGTTCACGGCTTCCGCTTCCTACACACCAACGAGATCCTCAAAATGTATCCCAACAAGTTTGTGGCCCTGAAAAGCAACGATGAGAGGCTCTACATCCTGAACACTCTCTTCAACCTTCCAGGTGAGGAGACAGAAACAAAATATTTGGACTTGGTCAGATCTTTAGTGTTTTGGGGGGGAACATATCAATCCCGGAGTCAGTCAAAACCAATTTGGAAAGAATGTTTACTTTATCACAATTTAAGAAGAGTTGAATATTGTATTGCATTGCTTCAGTGCAGTGTCTTGATGATACAATGTAAGCTCATTCCTCCTGACTGTGATTTCTGTTAGACCCACCTTCCATCTCAATGGAATAAGGGATGGACTCCCCGTTCATGTCAAAGGTACCTTAAAATCTCCCAGCCAGGTTGGTGCTCAGGCAGCTGGCCTTGCTGGTGTCATGAAAGTCAGATAGAAGTCAAATAGATATATTTTTCTCTCCCTCTCGTTTCCGAATGTCTAGAAACCTACCTTCTCGCATGCTTGGTCAACTACTTCAGTACATGCCAGGAGTACACGGAGACTGAGACAGGGGTCAAGAAGGGTGACCTGATGCTGTCATGGGAAAGCATCTTTGAAGATACCCGCAGTGCCGTCGACTATGTTCATATGGGGGTATGTTTACATATGTTCAGTTTAACAGGAATCCACAAATAAAATGTTTTTTGTCAAGTGTACTCAAACTGTACTCACAGTAGGAATTTTATAAATAGGAATTTTTCCTGTGACTGTACTGTTTACTGGGTAAGCAGAGGGGAGATGAACCCCAGTTGCAGAGGAGTTTTTGGCCGTTATTTAGTTCCAACTTTTCTCCTTACTTGTACAGCACAACATTCACCCATCATCTCTACATGCTGTGACTTTCTGACAATGCTACCATTAATTTTGTTTTTTTTTAAAGCGTAATAGACATAAAAGTGTGAATGTGATACGGGTTCCATTTGAACACACGCACACAAAATGTGTCGGTAAAAGATACTGGTAGGCTGTGTTGCCTGTTTCAGTGATTTGTAGATTAGTAATAATTTGTGCTCATTAGTCCTGAATCCTTCCTTTTTTTCAGGGAACTTTGAAAGACAAGACCCTGGAAAACCTTGAGGAGTATGTCATCAAGGATCCTAGACTTCCAACCCTGCTCCAAAGGTGTGTACAGTACTCTTTTAGGGGCTGGGAATAAACATGTCACTTTAAATTGAAATTAACATGAGAGTATATATTTCTGATTCAACTGCTTCATTTTGGGACACAACAGATGTGTGTCTGATTCATGCGTATTAAGCTGAATCCCCATTGTATTTGTTTAGCAGTGCATAAGACCGATTTTCAAGTTGAATGGCACGCATTGGTGATGTTTGCAGCTAAGAGTAATGTATGTCGTCGTTGTGTGATCAACCGTGTCCCTGCCAAACCCTGACCTGTCTTAAATCTTTTACATTAAACATTCTTTGCCACCATGATGGTGTTTAGTGCAGCATTCATCTTTTCCACGAGAGTACAATTCTTGTAGTCAACAGTAGAATGGTGTACAAGCACATCCAAAGCATTCCTAAATGATTTAATCAAAATAAATTGCTCCTGGGAACTGCATTTTATGCCCTCAGGATGAGAGATCACGGCCGTAAAGTCTTCCTGGTTACCAACAGTGGCTACACCTACACTGAGGTGAGTTCTACATACAATTAGATTTGAAGATGTCTCGAATTATCTCTCTTAATTAAGGAAGAACTGTTTTCATGTCAAAATTTACTTCTCTTAGCCTGCATACTGGAAACCATATTTACAGCTGGGTGTTGATAGTCTGTTAGTAAAGTGTGCCAAATGTGTGAGTTTTGAGTCCTATGTGCGCCCTCACCGGCAAAAGAAAGACAGACTGGTACAAAGTGTTCGCAACTGGGTTCTTGCCTGTGTTCGGTGTGCACGAGAAGACTATACATTCCAGAATAAATTTGTTGCGTATACTCGGCATGCTTTGCGTCAAACGTGCATATGCCTGCACGCTTATGCAGTGAATTTGTACCAAAGGACTGGCAATTTCACTTGAAAACATGCCCTCTTTTGTTTCCTGCCCGGAGTGGATAGTTATTTCTGTTAGATCAGATTTATGAGGAAAAAAAAATCATATAATTTCCTGCATGTTCACATTCTGGATGTTGGATTTAAATCTCATTCCGAAGCAGGAGTTTCTAAGTATAGTTTTTATTCCTGCCATAATGTTGCTTTCTGTGTCCTCTGGTAAGCTATTTTAACTGTAGTTTATTCCAAGAGATTTGGCTGCCTGTTAGGGCAGAGTAAATTCATTGTAAGGAACTGGCAAATTTGTCATTTTTCTCACAACCCTTGGAGGGTTACTGGAAGAAAGTTCATTTTGATCATTCTGATAGCAATTTGTTTGATTTTTTGCAGAAAATTATGACATATCTCTTCGACTTCCCACACGGAGCCACGGTAAGCTACAGCAAATTCAAATCAATTTTGAGTATTTTAAGTGTTTGTGGCTCATGCTATGTACACAGTTACCTTGTAAACTCCTTTGCTTTTCAGTGTAATCAATTAATCCCAGAAGGATTTCTGTGGATTGATGCATGAGTTTGTAGCTTTAAAAACATTCACTGAAGGTCAGAAATGTATTTTACAACTGGTCCAAAGACAGCAATCTCACAATGATGAGTGCTTGCTTGAAAGTCAGGATGGACACTAACAAGAAAATTGCATTGGTGTCATTTGAATGAAGGAATGAAGCTACTAGGTACATGTATAAATTTTCGTATTTTGGTTTCGTCATTGTTTTTTCTTGTCTGACCCTAGGGTCCACCTGGACCTTCCAGTGCGGTATGTGATAACCTGTGTCTGTTTCCGTTTGTTACCTGTTTGAGTTTTGATGCAAGGGGCGTGACAATTTACTAATGTATCAACAGTAGCCATTTAGTTCAACAGCGCTGGTACAAAATGAAGGTCATTTGAGAACATCTTTACACACGTGCGAGGGCAGCTGATTCACGCAAACTAAACGTGCTTGAACCAGCCTGACTGAAGGATTTTTGATTTCGAAAAACCTTGCCTTTTGGAAATACTAAACTGGCACATTGTGAGGTGAAATGCAGTGATATGGGGCCATGCTGGCTCATTGTGAGGTGAAATGCAGTGATATGTTCTTTCGTCTGTATTGCGTACGTTGCCTACATGGGATGGGATGCACGCTACCGTGCATAGCGATATCATCAGCACGTGGTGCTTGTCTACGTATGTTTGGTTAGCAAATACACGTAATTCTCTGTTTTGGAGGATAAATTTTGTGATATTTTTGAGGCAAAGTGTATGCAAATTATTAAGTGCAAGACTGAGACAGGTGACTGAATTTATTTTTCAAATGCCGCTGTATAAGCCGCCCAGAGTATAAGCTACAGGGACATTTTTCGCTCAGCGTGAGAACCAATGTAAGCCATGGCTTATCGAAAATTATCAATATCGAACTCTAATATTGATATATCAATGGTGCTTACTTCACACTCGAGCAGCAGGTTTGGGCGGATCTGTTTGGGCGGTTGGTGATACCGTCGGCTGTGACTTTACATGAGGTCCGAGGACCCTTAGAAGTTCAGAGCACAAGGAATGTGCTGCTGTTTACCTGCATGGGAGAGGATTTGGGGAGTAGTCAGAAGGGCTCCCAGCTGAAGTGACTTCTTGCAGTTTACAGCAGAAACCAAAGATCATATAGCGCCGCAAAGCGGCGCAAGATGGCCAACTTCACCGTGAATACATGTAAAACGTTGTAATCGCATAGGCGCCATTTGAGCAAGCGATACGCCTGTGCAATGCACATTAATGCACAGGGGCAAGCCCCGTGGCAGGCACTTGCACCTGGTGAGTCTGCACCCAAGCATTACCGTAAACTGCGCAGGCGTATCGCTTGCTCAAATGGCGCCCATGGTAATTACATGTTTTGGGCAGAGTTATCCATCTTGCGTCTTCGGCGCCATACCATCTTTGGTTGAAACTCACGTGTCAGTGATGGCCACTGGAGACCATTGTCCATGACTTGACGCTGTGGTTAAGATTGCCCTTAACTATTTCTGTTTGTTTGAGCTTTCTTTCTGATAACAGTGAGCCATTTTTTTTACCATCTCTGTTTCTTGTTTGACAATATCATCATTGGTTGTAGTCCATGTTCCTGGCTTCATCATTTGCTTCATTTTTAACACAGAACACTTCCTTTGAGTGTTTAATCACCTCAGAATTGGATGTTCGTAATGCTGCATGCATTTGTTGATGCGGACAGTGAATGTCTATACTGTTGGAACATTGGCTTAACGTTGGAGACCTATAATGCTACAAAATGGTGAAATTTGGAAACAATCTGCAATTTGAAAATTTGTAGACGTACACTGGATTGTTAAGTAGTTTCCATTTTTTGGTTGTAATTTGATGTCAAATATTTAAGAAAACTCCATCTTCGTTCTTTGTAATGTTTGGGTCGCAAACGTCAAAAGCTATTAAATGTAATCTACTCTTTCATATGCCGCAGCCTTCCACACCGCACAAGCATTGGTATGAGTACTTTGATGTCTGCATCGTGGATGCCAGGAAACCTCAATTCTTTGGCAACGGGACAATCCTGAGGCAGGTTGATCTGGTGAGTGGAGTCCTCACAACACGTTTCCATTCAACCCTCCTTACTTAGTTTCCTGTTCGACTTCATACAGTGTTGAGACAAAGGTGAAATTTTCAAGGAGACACCCGGGGGGAGGTGTATACATGTTTTCAAGGGGGCACTGAAGACAAATTAAATGGGGCTTGCTCCTAAGCTGTGGAGCAGACTTCTGCTGGTTGGGGGGGGGAGTGCCTCGATGCTTTTCCCCCCCCCCCTTTAGTAGTTATGACACTGCCCTTGTATAATTGATGGACAAAGGAGGATGAAGTGTTATATTTGAAATGTGAAGTTTGCTCTTCAAGAAAAGGTCTAGACTGCAAATGCGCACCGATTGCTTTAGTCTGGGACAGCTTGCTTTGCCACACCTTTTCCTTCCAACTTACAATGGACGTAGTTGTAACTTGTGGGACTTCTTTCCCCCCAAAGTCAGGCAAATCGCAAATAGTTTACCTTGGAGCCCTGAAAATGGAATCTACATGTACATGTATCACTTACGTATGGTGTTACACCATTGCAATTGGAAGCCACTCGCACAAGCATTGTAGTCTATAACCATAAACATTTTTAACAACTGCCAAGCTCAGTCTATGCAAACAGACTACTGTAGGGTGCACAGATATTGATTTCTTCCCATTGTACACTCTGAAAAATGCTCCTTTTGTGGTAACATCTCATTGGGGCATTTGTGTATCGCATCAGTCTGTTTAGAATCTTACGCCTTCGTTTGGCAGGACACCGGAGCCCTGAGAATAGGCAGCCACGTCGGCCCCTTCCAAAAGGGGCAGGTCTACTCGGGCGGGTCCTGTGATGTCTTCTGTGATCTGATTGGCGCTAAGGGCAACGACGTGCTGTACATGGGCGACCACATCTTCGGCGACATCCTCAAGTCCAAGAAGCTGCGGGGGTGGCGGACATTCCTCGTGGTGCCAGAGATCGCCCAAGAGCTGACCGTGTGGACGGAAAAAAGAGGTCTGTTGTTTGGCCCCCTTAGTACTCAGTTGTAATTTGTGAAGCACTGTACATTTTTGGCTGGCAGTGTGGGCATTGTGAGGGAAGGGGGAAAGAGGGAAATTGCCCCCTGAAAGATTTTGAAAACTAAAAAAAGGGGAAAGAGAAAAGAATAAAAAAGAGAAGAAAGGGGATTGTAGCTGATGAGTGCTTTGCCCATGTCCTGGAAATTTTTCCCCTGGAAAATTTAATTCCCCTCCCTCTAAGAAGTCCCGGTTAAGCCCATGGCCGACGCAGAAGTTTTGAAAAATGTGCACAAGATTTGCTCAAGTGTGACTCGAACCCACTACCTTCTATTGATTTAGTGCAGACACTTCAAACACTCAGCACCCAAGCTTTCGAGTGATTGGAGGTGTCATAAATTTCTTTAGGTACAAAACCAAAAATCCTTTGTCAATATTCTGAATGTTTTGGATCTGAAGTTCTTCCTCTCAGATGAAGCTTTATGTTCCATAAGTTCTAGCTTGGGTTTTTTGGCCGGATATGAGTGCTTAGTTTAGATTGTTTTCAGCTTCCACAGTTACTCTTCTCTTTTTGTTCTTGCTTTTTTTCCCCACGTAGGCTCAGTCGATGCCATGGGTACGTTCATGAATACATTCACTCAGTAGATGCATGTCTTGAAACAGTCAAATGACTCAACAATTCTTCAAACTTTGAAATGTATCAGACCGGAATGCTCCTGCATACATGCATGGTGGAAATAGAGAGTTTCTTTGCCCTTGCTGATGTGTCATTGATTTTTCCCAGAAAGTGGTGAATATTTTAGTAATAACATCTCTCTTTTTTTGCAGCACTTTTTGAGAAATTGGAGGAGCTAGATTCAATCTTGGCCGACCAATACAAGTAAGCATTGTTTTTCCCTTTTTTCCCTTACTGGATTGTCTGAAGCAAACACTGGAATCCTACAAACGAATCTTAGATGATCACCCGAGGCTCTAAATTGTACCTTGCCGACTATTCAGTCTGTCAAAATCCTTCAAAATCTTTTCCTTCATGCGGGATGGGAAGAGGGCGCTTTGGGTTTGAGAGGTGCATAGCCTGTTATGGGTTTTGTAGCAGCAAGGCTAGGACCCAGTTCATTCCTGAAATCGAAGACTGGGCAGTGTAGTTTTATGAAGAGAATAAGTGTGTGCTTGGCTGATTTGAAATGCTCAGTTAAAACGGATCTGGAGAACAGACGTTCATAATGCCTGAGTCAAAGGCTGAAGTGACCTGTCACATATTTATTTCTGTTCGTAAATACCTTTTGAGTCACCAAGTCAAAACGTAAGTACAAAGCCAAGTACAAAGTATAAATTTCCAGTGGATTTTGTACAACAGTTTCAGTGTGGTGCGGTGATATTTTCTTTGCGGTCTGCCTAGGTGACCAGGAATTCAAATCAGAGCCAGTACATCCTGTGCTTTCATTATTGAATCTGTACTTGATTCAGAAAAAACCTAATCCGTCCAGCTATCAAAACTACATGTTTACTCTAGGAAAAATCATATCAACTATGAAGTACACGCCTCTTGGAATTTTTCTTCCATTGATCCCCAGGGAGCTGGATAGCAGCACGGAATTGGTGCCGGACATCAGTAAAGTTCGCAAGGCAATACAGGTACGTGTTGAACCTCTGTTCCATATGCCTCTATCCCTGGCTTTGCCATAGGACACATGTCCCCCACTGTATGTGGCTGTAACTGCGGCTTTTTCATTACAAGTTTGATACCCGACTGAATGGTTCAAACTTAGTAGTGCCGGATATGCAAAGCTTTTGATAAAAATTCATTGAAAAGTCTTTAAAGAACAAAGGTTTTCTGTTTCCAAAATTTAGGCAACTTATATCAGGTCCATGCATAAATTTTATCAACCCAAACCTTATCACAAGTAACGAGGCATTTCTGTGTTGTATGTCTTGTTGCTAACCTTTTGGGCAAGATAGGTGTAAATATAGGTATGGAGTTTGACTGCTGAATTTCCTTGCTTAACCACATGCTGCTGAGGAGCCCTGTTTTGGGTACCTTGGGTTTGTTCGCATAGCCGGGATGCCCGAAATCGGACAAAAGAGTTGGGCCTTGTAACAGAAGACCGTACTCAGAACAAAAGACCAAGCTGCTGGGAATTGCTAACATTTTTTCAGTTGTCAGTAGCGGAGGGAATCCGTCATTATTTTGAAAGATTATACCACTGTTTGTGGCATTTAGTGTGAACGGATTACCACCGGGGACAAAAGCGTTTCAGCACTCAAATGATAAGCGATACAATGCCACTGCACGCTAATCTGACCTGTATTGAAAAGACGTCAGCAGCGCACAATGCCAGTTTTGGGAACAAAAGAAAGTTATGTAACACCACACAATCTGGGCTCTTTTTACAAGGTAGCAGGCCTGGCTGAAGTACTTGGACATCAATAGATGTTGTCTGTCAGATTAGAGTAGCCACCAGAAGTCACTCAATGGGATTTAGGCATTCGGGAAAAAAGATATGAATTTTTTTGAGAATTTTGAAAACCGAAGATATTGAAAATCGCCCGGTTTTAGACACTGCATTTTCAAAGGGACCCGGCAGCAAGTGGTTAAAATTGGAAAACTTCTGTGTTTGCAAAAAGTAGTTCTCAGTTTCTGTGACACCATTGATTTACAAATAAGTGAACCGATGAACAAACTCCGATGTGAAGCTAAAATGAAGGCAGCTCAACTATGACAAGCCTGATTGCCGACATTATCATTAAAGCAGTCATACAGAAAAGGGACATAGTAAATAGTGAAAAAGAATGCTCATTGGAATGTAAGCCGGCAGACTGTGCTGTTATTTTCACTTTGTTCAGAAACATGGATGCCAGCTACTTCAAGTGCATGGCAGTGAGTGCATAGCCAATAACCCATGCTTTTCAAACAGGTCTGAAGAGACTGGACAATCAGCCAATGCTGCTTTCAAATCATGCCACAGAATATGCTCGAGAATCCTCTTGCCTCAACAGATGTCATCCCTGCATTTTAACCACAGATTTAAGCTCATTTCCTAATCCATTTAGTACTACGAGTTACTTGGAAAACAGGAAAAAAGGCCTTCAGTGAGGATTATTTTGGTTTGTAGCAAGGCTGCCTAAGTTTGTTTCTGCCCGAGAGAGTTGAAATCCTTTTCAAGTTGTGTATCGCCTTCTCTCAACAGCAAGTCACCCACGAGATGGACATGTGTCATGGCAAGCTAGGGAGCCTCTTCAGAAGTGGTAAGGGAACTCGCAGAAATGGGTATGCAGCACCTCTGGGTCCTTGACATAAACTGCCCTTGCCATCAGTGAAATTCTGGTCAGGATCATTTACCGGGAGAACTGTCAACAGAGATGTTGCATCAGAGCTTTCTCGAGGGTGATTCTTGGGGCAGCTTGGCCAAACAGCTGGTTGTGAAAGTAGCACCGGGCAAGCTTCTTTTTCTTTTCATTCGCCGTCAGATCCCTGCATTCCTATTGCATTGGGAATTTGGCTTATTTTCTTTCTCCTTGCAGGTTCTCGGCAGACCTTCTTTGCCAGCCAGTTGCTGAGGTTCGCTGATCTGTACTCTTCCACGTTCCTCAACCTTCTGCATTACCCCTTCAGCTACCTCTTCAGGGCTCCTCATCAACTGGTAAAAAAAATCAGTGCATCTTTCGAGACAGGCATGTGTTTGTAGGACACAGAAGAACCTGCTGCAGATATACATGTATCTAGTGGCCGGCTAAATATGTGGAGATACTTAACGGACGGTAACAGTTAGGGACTTCAATCCCAGAGGGACACTCGCATTTTGCTAGAAGGGCCGTCTGATCATCCCTCCACCTCTCTTTGGTGATGAGTAACCAAAACTGCATATTTTCAGGATCTTTCCAAACTTTTCAATAGCCACTGCCAATAGCACTGAAAAAAAATCAGATCAAATATTTCAAACGCATGGTTTTAAGATTAAAGCACGTGATCACATAAGTGCATAAGATGTGCATTTTCATCATGAAGAGTGCACCCAGTGTTAACATGGCATCCCCCTCCCCTTATTGAAAACAGCTGGGCAACGTTATCATTATGACCATCCCCCCCATTCCCACCTTGCTGGCACAGATCTATGCCACAGCTTTCACCCCCGGAAATATGAACTCTTGGTACAACGCAATATGTCAGGCAACCAACCCACTGGTCACATAAATTGACCCACAAGTCGCATCTTGATCCATCCTCCAAAGTAGAAACTGAGGCGGAATGTTTTTCTGCCCCCTCAGATGCCCCACGAGTCCACCGTGGACCACTACGACGCCTGCCCCATCTTTGAAGAAGACCAGAAGTCCCTGAGTATGATGTCGCCGGCGCTGGCCCGCAGGCGGACCATGAGCAACCACCGGTCCAGCTCCCACTTCAACAACCAGACAGACGTGATGGCCATCGCGCCTGATCCAGTGGAGGTCACGCACGTCCACGACGAGGACGAATAGAAGGGGAAGGCCTTGGTCCCAAGACAACTAGCTGTGGCCGGGAGCATCACATGCACCTATGAGAAATAAACGTAGCAGCAAGGCATCGGCTGCCATAGGTGCGTGTTGTAATTTGCCACAGCTGTAACTTGTGGATACAGTTGAAGATAGCGGGGGGGGGATTCTATATCTGTTCTAACCCTACGCCAAAGTCACTCTTTGGCTCAGTTTATAAGCAGCACAAAGATGCACAGCTGTGTTGTAATGTGCGCTGCACTACCTATCCCTCACAGGAATATCAGATTGCACTGTTGTGCTGCCCAACAACTGTGCTTCACTGTTTCATGCGCATCATTGTGTAGTAAACCAAATGCAGTGAAGAGGACTGCACAAAAGACTTGTCTTGACTTACAACCGATTGTATACACACTGCAGCTGTGCATCTTTGTGTTCTGTATAGACCTTTTTCCAGCGATGTGACAATCGTGCTGGACCGCGATGTGGTGCGATGGTAATGAGTGCGTAGTGTTGTGGTGGTAATCTACTTATTCTCATTCAAGATAAACTGGTCAAGCATGCAGCGTTCGCACGTGCGCTTGTACGTGGTCGAAGCTGCCCGTAGGAATATATGCGATCACCGTGGCCATGGCGGTCCACACGTGGTGGTATTGTTTACATTTAGCGCAATCCAGTCTCGTAGGGGGAAAAAGGTCTATAGAAAACACATGCAAAAGAGTGACTGTTGGAGCCTGTGCTTATTTTTGCTGATAAACCTTAGGAGGGCTAAATTTCAGAACTCGAGTCCACTTATAAGAGAGCTTCGTGGTAGAGGCGGTAGAGTGTGGACACGGCCAATTGAGAGTAGTTTGCAACAGTGCCCGGACAAACCCTATCGGGACGTAAGCAAATAATTGGGTACATCGCCAATGGCAGCTTATGCTCTCGAGAATCCAGGAAGATGGGATACCAGTCCAGACTAACTGGAACAACAGCCATTGCAGAGGCAAGGAAACATCGATACCAAAGGCCCATTTCTACTGTAGTAATGATACCATCCTAACATTGTGCATTGACCTTTGCCTCCAAGGTCTCCCATAGTGCATTGTAACTTCCCTTATAAAGGGCATACACTAGAAAAAGTAGGTAAATGTACCTATTTAAAGAACATTAAAACACTACCACCATGAATTCTGTGAGGCAATGAAGGCCTCCAACATTTGCAATGGATCGTATGCACCTGTGTGCATGCATTTGGTAAATGCATACAGTGGTATTTTTCTGGTCCAAGAGTTCAGGAAATTTTTATGCTCAAAATGTCTGCGTGTGGGTTATACCTACAAGTAAACAGTGTTCTCAAGAAGCAGCTGATGTCCATTACAGAGTGTTTCTGTATTTAAGACAAAACTGGGGTGGATCTCTTATAATCAGCCGTAAACGCTGCCTGTAAATTTCTGTGCTGAGAACTGAGCCCGACTCATTGGACCTCATGACGTACACTTATTTGACCACAGATGTGCTGTTCATTCCGTGTCGAGAATGACTGTGGTAAGTTGGCTTGAAAAAGTGATGGAAGACTTTAGCCTTATATAACTTATCGACCTGTTAATTACATTCAGTCTTTTGCAAAATATAGCACTCTGATGTTGATGATGATGCGTGTTGTTTACCTGGGCACTTTCCTGTGGAGCCAGCGGAAGCCCACAGTCCACTGAGCACCACTGTAGGATAGTGCACAAATAAACAGAGTGTGGTATCATCAGCACAGAGGTGTATTGTCAGGCCATGTGTAATGCGGAGCCATGGCACTGAATAGCATCTGAAACCTGTCTGTTTTAGCATTTTTGCTGGCAACTCTTTCTCAAAATGGGAGATGTTAATACGCAAGGACTGTTTAATTTAACAGAAGAATTTATGCAGGTATTGTAAAAAAGCAACAAACAAAATGATGTTTTCGCATTCTTGCAGTGGTAAGAATTATTTCATAAGGGGGCAGACGAAATGTTCTGTTCCACGAGGCAAATGAAACATTCCATCCATCACCAAATGAAAATATTCTTACCGGAGCAATGTGAAACATTCATGGTATATATTCCGTCGCCCTAACTTTCAGATGCAGCCCCTGCTGTGCCCATTTCGGAATATTTGCCCAAGCGCGTTAACCTCCGGGATTAGTCTGTCTGTAGTCGGGAAGACAGTTTCTTCATGCTGGGAATATGCTGTGTTCCTGAAAAGCTAGCATTCTAAATTGTAAAAGTGTCGCAAAGCACAGCTGTAAAGACTACTACTTAGGCCAATGCAGTCACGTAAAGGTAAAAAGGAAATCTCAGGTCAGGTGTGACAGAGGTATAACTCGATTTGAATGCTGCAATATTCAGAGAACAAAACCAGAATTGGGACTCCGATTTCACCTAAAATTTATAGAGCAATTTAAGTGTTCTCAAGTATCTGACCTGGAAGCTTAAATGGTGGACAACAGTAACGTTATTTGATGTTGATTTTGACATGTGCCTGCAATACGTATGCTTTTGAACCAAGCATATTCATCATTCATTTGAAACTCTGAAAATGTATGATACATGTGTTTAAATAAGTTAAAGAATTCTGAAATATGATTACTGCTTAGAGTTTGTAGATTTGACACCAGAACAGTAGATGAAGCTGGACATGTATGATAACTTTTAGTGTGCGTAATCAACTGTACGTAGTTCATTTTTTATTGGTTTGGGGCTGTAAGCAGTGTTGTGGACAAGTGAACATTCTGTCAAGTGGCATCGGCCAATTTGTTGTGTGATGATTTACAGGTCACATCCAAATCAAGTGGCCCTAAGCCTCACTTTGAGACAGGCATTACAACCACTTCAAAAAAGACTGGTGCCCTGTTTGGTTTTCCAGCATTACGCTGTACAGACGGCACAGTGGCATCTGTTGAGGGGCTGAGGGGCCAGACAGCTGTTTCCATAGCATGTTGACTGTTGACTAGGGGGTCTTGTTGTTTAAATCCATATGGAAGCATCACTAAAATGCTTCACATGGAGTGCGTAATTTTAACACAGGGATTAGGGCCTAATCAGCAATTCTCTGAAATCAGGCACGAATAAATTATTGTAACAAGTCTATGAATCTTTTTCTTCATCTACTTCAGCCGTGATGAAAAAATGCATATTATGCATATGTTACCATTTCAGATTTATGGTTTATGGTAAAAGCGACACAACATAATGCTCAAGAATTTATTTGGATCCTCAATACCAGGAACAGAGTTTTCTTGGGTCTTTATTCCGTGTAAATTTGTTCACATTTATCCTCGACACCGAGGTTTACATTTGTAAAGCCAATATGTATTTTATTATCAGTTTCTTACTCATTTTAGGGGCCATCCATATTTTTTTATCCTGTTCATTAGCATTCAGTCAGGTTGCTGGAGGATGGGGGAAGTTGCCATGCAGGCTTTTCAAAAAATACATAAAATAATATTTAGAACAGAAATTATACTCATCAATCAGTGGGGAATGGGGGATGTCCCCTCCCACGTTTTAAAACGGTAGGGTAAAGTAGGAGAGTATCATATCATTGGTCCAACCCCACTCTTTTTTTGGATCCTGAATGTAGCATTTTATTCTGTACCTTAAAATAGCTGCTCCAGTGAATCCAAGTTTGAAAATGGTGTTTAAATTATGGTTAAAACAGCCATAGACTGGTACACTTTAAGTCGGGAAACAGGAAAAAAACAGTTATTTTCACCTGTGGAAGCTTCCTCTACGTCTGCGTTTTAATTCTCCCCTTAATTGAGTTGTTTATCCTGTAGACCCATGCTGAATGTAATTGCTAGTGGAATGCAGAAAGTTCCGAACTTGTAAAATTTTGCACAAGAAAAATGAAAATGAAATCAATCTTGTAAGAGCATTTGCTAAGAAAAACAATCGGTTAAAGTGGTCAGAAATTGCTTCAGACTGCTTCACAGAGCACCTAGAATCCAAAATTACCTGGGGCTCTTAAGTGGAGCCCTGGACCCAACTCCAGAAGGGCTTCACACTTGATCAAGGTTGTGGCCCCCCCACACACACACACACATTTGAGATGCAATTGATGCCCCAAGTTTTACTTTATGCCCCTTTCATTTTTGTGCTCCATGGGGTCCAGAAAATGAATACTTGTTACACTTGTGAAAATGATGAAAAAGTGGATGACCCCTAAATTGAAAAGATTCAATTAAAATCATTGTAACTTTTGTTTGAAAGTATTAACATGTACGTTTTAATTCATTTTTAGATTCGCAATATTTACTGTTTAAAGATACAGTAGGTTTTTAGGTGTTTGAGAGGATATTTCTCAAATTTAGTTTATACTTGATTTTTAAAAAATCTTTTCCTGAAGTTTATTGTTCAGACTGTAGGGTTAACTCATGTTAGAAGTCATGTCCTTGACCAGAGCATTTTGCCACGGTTAATTCAGGCCTTTATCTGTTATGATAACAGGGCACAACAGTGATCTTCATGAGTAGTGCATCTCTAGAATTTTTAAAATAATTCTGTGAGAGCTGCAAGGTGAAATGCTCTGTTACAGTGCCTTATATTATTTTTAAGCCACTATGCTAACCTTTTCACATTTTGGTCTGGCTTGTTTTGTAACTCGTATAGCACGTACACCATACAAGTTAAATACCAAAGCATTCTGTTGCTTTGGATTCCAACATTCACTGCAGAGCTGGTAGAATTGAGCTTTACTCAAATGTTCAGATTTGTTGTTCTTTTGCAGGCTATTTTTTATTTATTTATTCTTTTTTTTACCTAATTTGGAGAGCTTCAAACATTGCAAGAAGTAACCAAAGACTTTCTACATAAATCAGTAAATTGAATAAACTGTGCATGAAAAGAGGGCTACTGGGCTACCAGTTTAAGTTATGCACATGTAAAATTTCGTGATATCAGAAGAGACTCCAAATGTAGAACTAAACAGACCTGTGATCCTCAATAAAAATGTAGTAACCACTGTTCAGGAAAAAGTTTTCCAATATCTAGTATATTTATGATCCAGCCATTGTACCTTGGTTGGGAAAGATCAAACTTAATTGCAAATTATGCTATGAACAGATAAGATACACTGAAATGTATTTGTTTCCCTTGTTAGTAGAAATATATAAAAATATAAACATTAGGGAAACTTGTAAAATTAGCTGATTTTAAGCAGAATAGGGGAAGCATTTAAGTAACGGAATATGAGTAGTTAACATTTGACATTTTTACTTTGTTTTAAAGACTTAATCTTTTGTTTTATTCACTGGTCAGATATCATAAGATGTCTCATGGCTTTTCTGTAAATTTCTACACAGTTTCAGCCAACTGCCACTTTAAAATAAGAAGTTGTATGTAATTAATAGGATTTGGCCAGTCATTTGTTGGCACACAACTAGATGAGACTGCTGAAATTTCAATACTGCGTTGAATCAAGGGCACAATGGTTCCCTTTAAATGTTAGGGTGCCTGAGTTGCACAGCTCTGGCCCTAGGACCCTATTTCATGAGTGGGGCCAGTACTGTGCCAGGCAGTTTTCTTTGAAAAGCAGAGGCCTGCGGAGTAACAGTGTCACTGAGCTTGCTAAGTAAGAATAAATACTCAGCAAACTTGGCATAGCAAAGAGCAACTGTGATACTGTCACAGGAACTATACCCGTCCATGGAAACTTTGGCTGGTAACTGGATTTTGCTAAGCAAATATTGTTTCTCTGCTTATGCAAAGGTAGAGGGGAGAGAGGGGCAATGAGGCCAGCCTCTCCCTCCCAAGCAAATGAAGATTTTTGTTTGAAAAATAATGTGGGAAAGGCGAATTTTGTTTGTCTAATTCCCTTCCCTTCCTTCCAAAAGCATGCACCAGAATGTAGCCTCTACCCTCGCCTCAGAGTGGCCATAGGAGGTAACAGAAGAAAATTCCAACTTTTTAGGCCAACTCCCAAGAAAACAGGAACACCCCCTAATATTGTGTTCTGGATCCACCTTTGTGCTTAGCTGCTCCATAACAGGATACCATCCATCAGAGTGCAGCAGAACTTCTAAAGGTGTTGGGTTTTGGAATCACATTTTGATCATTTTTATCTGGAAAGGGGAGCAGCATCTCTTCAATATACATTCTTAACTTTTGGCTCATTTAAAATTTTGTGGCATTGCAGCCATTTGATTATGTACAATTTGAAAAGCTCTTGTATAAAGTCACTGCTTTCATGTAAAACTTGTGTATGTGAAGCATTCCAATAAAACTCCTTATTTACAATACTGAATGAGATCTTTGTTTAATGTTGTGAAATGTAATTTTACTGACTCTGACAGTATTTCTGGCATATTGAAAATTGGCTTCAAAAGTCTGTCTTCTTGGTATATCCAGCAAGAAATGAGACCGAGGGGTACCCCCCCCCAACATGTCCAATCCCTATAC